CGGTCCGGACCCACTTCTGCCGTTTTGAACTACTAGGGGAATGGTCCTACAGTCCTGACATTTTTTGTAGTAGGAAGCCTATACCTTGAAGGTGTGCCAGACGGCCATCAAATTTCACTTTGAAAGTAAAACGTGCATAATTTTTACATACGACAACCAATTGGTCTCAGATTTTGCATACGCATCCCTTTTTAGTCGAGCCTTTATTGGTGCCAAGTTAAACTTTAGAAAATGGGGGGGGGGGGGGGACACATGTTCTCCCCTTCATGGTATTCTAATGAAAGGTCTCATCGAAATAACTTTCCCGTGCGACTCTTTTTCGAGATCAGTGAGCGACGGGTACTGAGGGAGGGGGGAAATTTATTTGATCTTTCATTGTATTCTAATTAAAGGTCTCAACGAAAGGAACCGTTTTCTACCAACTACTGCTCTTCTTTCTGCCCTCTTATCAGTAGGGAGGGGGGGGGGGGGGGGGGGGGAGTGGAACTAGTTTTATCCTTCATGGTACCCTAATGAAAGGTCTCAACGAAAGGAATTCATTTCTATCAACCATAATCCTCCTCCTCGACCTCTTATCGTGATCGAGTGTATTCCCTTATACCTCAAGAACGGATTGTCGGAGGAGGTACTCACAAAGGGCGATTGAGACGTCTGCAAGAAATACATCAATTGGTGATGTCAAAACAAAAGCTATTTCACAAGAGTTATGCACAATGTATACTTGTTTTTATAATAAATAATCCTCGAATACTATATTATTCGTACCTTTTTCTATACAAGCAAATATACTACTAATATGTGGGAATTAGATCATTCTAACATTATTTTTGGATGTTGCTCAAAATCCGTTATTCTCTAGAGGTGTACCTTTAAAAGAATTTTTCGGCATCGGTTTTGATGAAAATTACAAAAAAATGTGCAATCCAAGAAATAGTAGGTACGTTTAAAACTCTGTTTAAAATTAGTAAAATATAGGTTAGTCTAAGCTAAATAATCTTTAGTGCTTAAAGACATTAAAACAAAAAAAATATATCAAGAACGGAGTTGCGATATTGCCGAATGAAAAAGCACGTTATCTCGCCCTCTAACTCGCCCTCTAAGTACAAAAATGACACAGATCAACAATATTATCACTTTAATACATGGAAAACAAATCATTAAGAAACACGTCGGCTATGAAAAGTTTGTACACACCTCAAAAGATAAGCAGACATGACAAGTACATCCAGATAATCAGTTCCACTTTTGCCTAGCGGCTGTACATGAAACAGATGAAAAAAGTCGATACTGGGCAGGACCGCCCTAAAAATGTAATTTCGAAAATAAATTATTGAAATATAACAAACGCACTAAATTCGGACAGTTTGTTTTGGTAGATATATTGAAAATATAGTCGTTGAACAAAACAATTACCTATTTAAAATTTTCACATTATATACACTGTGTCCAAGATAAGGGTGTATATCGTGGGGATCTCAGAAACCGTAGAAGATACGACGATGGGCCAATTACGGAAAAGATGCACAATTAAGTTTTAAGTTAATTAAATTTTTCATTTTCCAGGACATTTGTCCGATACGTTTTTTCGCACGATTAGAGCGTTGTGCGCGGGTGCACCATCCTGTTGAAACAGTTTCCGACTTTTCCTTTTTTTGTGCCGTAAATCGTTGTATTCATAATAAAAATGCTACTCAATACAGTGTGTACTTCTTTTACGGCCTGTATAAGAAGGTGATGATCATTTCTGTGAAACGAAACGTTGAATTAAAAATCTCTCAACGCTGTCTTGTAGACGGTTTTTGTATATGTTCCAAATAACATCACAAAAAAAACGAAATCGGCAAATTTCGGTTATTTTGGCATATCTTCGGAAGTAATCGGAATATTCTGACTTTGTTGAAGGCAATGTTGCCTCCTGTGGCAATTGAGGCACTTACATGAAACTAGCCAACCTGATCCGGTCTCAACCGCATTACGATACTCTGGAAATATGTAAATAAATGAACCTACGTTTAGTTTTGGCTATTTATAGACTTCTCAGGTTACGCTGTTCCAATTGCGCCCGCTTACTAAGAATTGATACGCGGTCCACTGTTCTACGCTGGCCCATTGGATCCTTGGTACCTGTATAAAAATATAGGCTCATTATAAATTTTAATTGTATGAACGGCAAGGGCTGTAGAGCGTTGATGCGCATGTGCGGTTAGTGAGGCAGGACTATATACGTAAAACGGCGACAATTTTCAGTTATGATTCCTCACGGAAAGAAAAATAGACACTTATTATGAGAGTCACCTTAGCGTACCAGTAAAGGATAATTAAAAACGATACTATCATGAATCATAATCGGTGATAAAACATTTTTTAAGAGCTCCAGAAATTAATATATTGTAAAGGAACGAGATAGTAGAAACAGTCGCAGTGAAACTTTTGGAAGAGTCGGGCGTTGCAAAGGTACACGGTACTTATGATCTGTATCAGTAAACTACTGCAAGAAATTGGTGTTTTTTCATGTTGTTGATACCTAGGACATCATGTTTTTGGGTTGCCATTTCTGTAAAGTACACTGTACAGCTTCCACTTAATGCGTGGGCTTGATAATGTATAAATTTAACTGTAAAGATTGTTACCAAATTGGGCAAACAATAAGGCGCATTCAAAATTCATTTTAACTAGCGCGTTCATTTTGGTATCCTATTCGCAAGAACAAATCAAGCCTAATACGTTTTTCATGGTTGGAGAAGGTTGATGAAATACCTCAGTTTTAAAAATTGTGTGTGGTGCAACGTTTAAACGTCAAACGAATGGGTCAATAAACTGTACCACGAGGGTAATTAAGAGCTGATACATTCAGAATTAATTTGGGCGCAGCCATTGTTCTTTTAAACGACAATAAGTTATGCAGTTATGATTTACATTTGCATTATTTCCTAATCAAAAGTCGATTAACGCAACACGAAACAAATGAATTCCGCATGGAGAGAGAGCGAGTTACGAAAGGACAAATGGAGCTATTCTCGGAACACGGTCGAGTAATTATAATTAAATTGGTTCATTGTTAATTTTCCGTTAATACATTAAAGCGGATAGCGATTAGAGTATGTTACCGTCTTGGCGAATTCTCTTTGAAGTTAATCCAAGGCTAACTTGGCCGTGGGTGTATAAAGATAAAGACAGGATTGGTATATCGCTTATGGCCACGTCCTACTAGCGGCAGGCAGTCAGCAGCTTTCTCCTGAGCACTAAATTAATTTTATAGCGGTACACACGTGTGCACTACGACTTTTGCACGCCCAACGATTCATTCACAAAACGTAGGTATTCTACATACAAATTTATAATCAGTGCTTCTTGGGCAAAAGTTGGGACGACGAGGTCAGTTACATATTTAACCGGAAAAAATAAGAGCAAAAACGCCACGGATCTATTTTTGCATTACCTAATGCATGATGCATGCCCTCCAGACACTCCACAATTTTTGGCGTGCCAGTCTGTTTTTACCGCGCTAAAAAGTTCTATTTTAATTGCATTTTCTTGATTGGATGACCACGCATCGACGATCGAACGTCGGATTCATTCATAAGTTTTTATTTCGCGATGCCGAAATAAAATTGCGTCATCGCACGCTCGAAGGGGCGTCCTTTCAATTAATACTCAATGAATCCTACGCGCCATTTGTCATAAATTTTTATTAAACGTTTACCGTCTCCAACTGTTAGTCCTCCTTCACCGCCGAATCGGAGAATAGGTAAGGAGCGTCGTGTGCGTGGGACTTTCATTTCCATACATCATTGACCAGAAGGTTTACGCAGTTACGAAAGCAAAAATTTACTTACCACGCATCCAGCGGATGGGGGTCCCAAGCAGCTAATCTTCAAATGAGTGCAAGCACTGATATCTGCCGAAAAGCCAAATTTCTTCCAATTCTTTGAAATCTTAGAAAATCATATTTGAAAACACTCACTTGAAGAAAGACTTTTTGGATGTCAGAGTCTGTCTGTCCGTGCTCGTGTTTTAGAAACGTTTGGTACACATGTTCTTAAGGGTATAAGAAAGGTCACCATTGTTTTCCAGTTACGTACACTAACGGGCCAAAAGTTACAGCCTAAAAACTACCCGGACCTCCAAAAAAAGGGTGTCTTTTATAATTCTTGTTACAAATATCATATGAATGCCCGTAGAAGATAAATATGTATGTAGTAGCGACAGGACGAACAGACGGACGGATAAAGTGGCCACAATAGTTTTTTTTTCATTTTTATGGAAATGCGCTAAAAAGTTACATAATTCGAATCTGGTTATATTATGTAAAGCAAAATACATATACGTAGTGTTATATTGAAAATGTAATTAATAATAATTGTACGAGTATCACTAAACCCAAATCGCTAATGTGTTTTTGCATGTTTTTGAGGAGTTGGTGTTTTTACAAGAATCCGATTACTTTATAGAGAAAGAGAAAGGACTCGCTAACTTCTCATATTTAACCTATCAAATTTAAATCGTTCGGTATTTATTTTGGTGTGCGCGCGGAAAATGGATCACTTATCGGACGAAGGTAATTGTGAAAAAAAATAGTCGCAAGTAAACCGTAAAGGCCAATCGAGAGGCCAATGCTCCAAGAATCAGGAAACGCTAAAGATAAGAACGTATTAGTTTTGGTATTCGTTTATCTTTCTTTTTCTAATGGAGCTCATTATCTAATCTTAGGTTTAAGATCTGCCAATAATTCGTTTTACCCTGTACAATTTATAGTTGACGTTCGTGCAATAATTGGGAATAGTAATAACAGTTTTGCGCTTTCCTGATAACTTATCGAACTACTTGTATAGTACCGAAATCGAGTACTTAGTTCTTTGATACCAAAATGATTTATGACAGGATTACTAACAGCAGTCTTACTTATTTAGAACGTATCAAGAGAATAGTGATTTCTGTACAAAAAACTTTAATAACATTTTAATTTATAACAAAGTATTAAATTTATTCTTTTGTTACAGTGAGAAGGTGTTACTGTGAGGGGCACTGTCCAAATGAGATGATCAATGGCACTTGTGAAATTAAACCGGGCGGTCAGTGTTTCACAGCGATCGAGGAGGATTGGGACCGGGAGACCGGGACGTTCGTTTACGATACCACCTACGGCTGTTTTCCGGCTGATGAGCGAGGATTTCTGCAGGTACATTTTTTAGCGAAATGTTTAAAATGTATTACTGTGTGCAATGGTATGCGGCCCCTACACCATCCACCTGTCCAGCTAACTCAAAACCAATCAAAATTGTCACTTAGAATTTTATCATCTCTCCTGGTACACTTCCACTTAAATGTCTCAATATTGATAGACTCGGTGACCACGATAAACTTCCGAATATTCCAAAGAACTAACTACAGAAATTTTAATTAACACCTCAAATAAATCTGGGGCACAATTGGAAAAAAATGACTGTCTGGGTGGCACAATGGATAAACTCACCATTAATTGATTGACAATGACAAAAATGTTTAACGCAACCCATACAAAAAATAAAACAAAATCCCTGTAAGAAAGAATAGCTTAAGCTTGTTTGGACATATTACTCCGCACGCAGACGGCCAACAATTAATAAAATAAGAGATCATAAATTACTTAGTTTTTTTTTTAAATATGTCGTGTCGTACAACGTTTGCAATATAGGGCACATTAAACTCACATACACGCTGGCAGCTTCTGAACTTCACTTTGCTTTACAACACAGAATTAGTTGACGAACAAAACTGACTCGATGAATAAGATGAACAAATTTTCGGTAGCTGTTTGGACGGTAGAAACTTTTAATAAAAAGAGAACCTTAACAAAAGGGATCCCTACACTGCTTTGTTTTTCAACTCATCAGTACTTTCTGTACCTAATAGGACAATACGCGTTAAAATCCTTACACAACTTTGGTAAACTTGCTTCTGCACAGAGTAATTGTAAAAAATGACGGACTGCGTCTTCAGCAAAACATATTATTATTATTATCCCTCTCTTGTTTTGGGCCCTCAACAGGCATGCGCTCAATTACAGAGTGACCCGCATAATGCTATTTAGAGGTGCCTCTGCAGAAGGTCTTAAGTTGGTCTATACTACTCCGGTATTTACCTTGCGAATTAGGAAAACTGCATGAAAACCTAATTCGGAGTAGCCGGTAGAATGCTCCGAACTGGTCTAAGGTAATTTCCATCTCCGCCACAGATGAAAAATTCACCTCAACCCAGGTTCGAACACCCGACCTCCGGATTTATAACCCAATGCTCTACCACTGAGCAAATAGGGTTGACTGCCGGTACTAGCGTAAAAAAATGTACACGCTTTTCAATCGTTGTGAAAAAACTAGCAGCAGCAGCAGCCTCGTTTACTCGTCTATTATTTAAAGAAACACCACTTCCACCATCAAATAAACTCCCGTAAAGCACCCTCTCGCGCCCACGCAACAACCACCCGCATAGCACCGGACACGTGCCTACTAGAGTGCGAAAACGACAATAACCTACCCTAACCAGTAGAGGGCACCAAAGAACATACACATAATACAGGGGTAAACGTAACTGGGCAAGGAACTCACTCGGGTCCCATGTCCAAACTACACCTTCGCTACCCGGCGACCCGAGATACGCTCCGAACGAAGTGTCGAATTCATTGTGATTTTCCGGTTCCGGTCGTTTTTGTGTATCTGTGAGCAGTACCTACTCAGCATACCTGAAGTTAACGACTCCTGTTTGTGTTATGTTAGTAATATTAGTCGATACTTTCATTGTTATAGGACTTGAATAAAGTCACCGCGTGTAAGTAGTTTACCTTTAAACAGTGCATTAAGCGTCCACCACTCTTCAACCCGGCTAACACTCTTTTAAAAATTTTTAAATAACTCGTCAATCAACGACGGAACTCGCCAAACGTCCCACTTATCCAAAATGACAGGCACCATTCTTTAAAACACCTTATCTCTTAACAACGATAAAACACGTTCGTAAATTAATGTTCACCTGATAAGACTCCTTATCGCAACGACCAGATGTGTCATACTTCTAACATTCTAAAATTTAAACAAGGATTTGCATTAACAACATTTTTAAAAGGAAAACAACACTGGCATACCAATTCAAATGAAACGAACAAACTACGTGTTCATTTCGCAAATAATCCCTCAGGATGTCTCGCCATTATTTTTTGTGTTTAGACCGAAATAACGTCTATATATGTACCTTGTCTTGCATTCGATGCACGTCGTTGTATCAAAATTTGTTTCTTTGTACCGGGTGACCCAATACGACTGTTGTTGGCGATATATTTTGAGTATTTTCAAAATGCGACCATCGTTGCTCACATCTTCTATTTGAGTTATATTTTACAATGCATCGTGTTTTATTTGTTTAATTTTCCAAGGCCTCTACCTAAAAGTGTAGGGTCCTTTTCCAAACAATCTTTCGCGCCATCGACAAATAACGGAAATACGTCAAATAAGATACAATTTAAGCATTTTAATTAATTAATTAATTAATCTCATTTTCCCAATATTTGAGGTTAGGAACGAGATTTTGAAAAACGGTTTTCACTGGCCTCTTTGGTTATTATTTGGCTACTTTTCCATAAAGAAAAAGTTATGTCATTCTATTTGATTTTTTTAATTTTTTTAAGATTTTGGATCATAGTGTCAAAACTAACCCCCTGGCGGAGAAGGATTCAACTAAATTAACTATATTTTGGTTGATTCTTGTTGCTTTTCAACGATACCAAATTTGTTACAATCGGTCAAACGGTTAAGAAGTTAAAGCAGGTTATTGCAACAACAATTGAACGCCCCCACGCCATCTTTGTTTTTGAAATAACTGAGTTTTTGTTTTTACGAAAATGATAGATAAACTGGTTCTCTTTAAAAATGTGAAAAAAGAATGTTTAGTTTATTATGCGAAATTTAAAGAAAATGCAATTTTAAAATTTAAGATGGCAGTTACGCCCTCTGGTGGTCATTTTTAGAAATATTTTCCAGCGATTCTTCATGACCAATTTACCCAATTATTTTGTTTACTCTTTGGCGCTCACGACAAACAGAGAGAGGGGTAGACTCTACAGCTCGCTCCTGAGAAAGGTGGGCGTCATGCGGTCCCATTCCAGTCGGGGCTCGTTCTTGACTGGGCAACAGAAGCTCCGCTCATCATTAGATGTTGATGTGAGAGGATTCAAGAGACAGTGGCATGTCCCATTATGGTCGTAAGGTAGAAACTTTGTTATTCGTGGAGCGTTTTTTAGCGCATTTTCCATTGTGGGGTTCCCTTCGTCCTTCCGAGGCCTTAACTACTATTACAGTGTTTTAAGATATTTAGTTTGTTCTTTTTGAATTCGGTAGATAATAACTCTAGCACCTCAACCAACAAAAATTTTTGGCGATTAATGTGCGCTTGCGCAGTCTGCGGAATGTTAAGTTTTATATTTATGGAGATATTTTTGAAATTTTAACCACAGATGCTTCTAGTAAAGACAAGCATATCGCATACTGTAAAAATCAGACGTGCGCACTGCGCAATGACAACTTTCTTATTTTATTTAGCCTTTATTTTTGAGTGGGCGGGGTTTCAGCCAAGGCTGCTCTACCAATCCAACCCACTATACATTTACAAATAACCATGACCGAACCCGGATTCAAACCAAGGACCCTTAGCACCACAGTTCAGCTTTTTAACTGAACTGCGCTACACGAGCCGGCCGGATTCTTGTAGTAAAGGCAAACTTATCGCATATTTTACACATCAGACGTGTGCATGCCCAGACTGTGCAATGCTTACTTATAAGAATATTTATGCTATGACATAACTTATTAGCCGTTAAGTGACCTTTCAGGAAGTACTTAAGGCGAAAACCTTTTTTCCATTTTTTTCTGATAATAGGAGAATAGAGTTTTTTTAAAACAAGCGGATACTTTATATGTCAAAAATTGAGGATAGATCATCTATATCTAATGTGCTGAAAAATTGACCATGCGCATGCGCGGATCTCATTATCTTATTTTTAGAAAGATTGAGCTAAAAACTGAAACCTAGACTTTTTTCAATAAACGTTAAGCGTTTTTTCTGTGGAGCGTTTTTGGAAAATTGTGACTCCGCAAAAACCCAACTTTCTTATTTATAATCATAGATGCTTCTAGTAAAGACATCGCATATCGTGAAAACTAAATGTGCCCATCCGCAGATTGAACTGCGCAATGGAAACTTTTTCATTCATAGAGATCTTTCTTTTAATTTTTAACTATGTACACATATCGCTCAAAATCATGTGTGCGCATGCGCAGACTACGTAATGTTAACTTTCTTACGCACTTTCTATGTCCTTCCGTCCGGGGCCTTGACTGCTAGAGTTTCCAAGATATTGGGATTCGTTTGTTTTTATTCGATAGCTAAAAGAGAGCAAATGTCAAATATTACTTATAGAAACGACGCATAATAACGACACTTTTCATTAGTAATCTTTTGTAGTTTCAACGCTTCATACCTTATACTCTATTATTGACAGTTCCATACATGTATATGTCGGAGAACGCAATTAAATAAATAAATAAACAAATTCGCTAAGCAAAATGTTAATATCCAAATTCCGTGCATATTATCCAGCGGTTCAACAATTATACTGGCTATAATCGCTACCTACTAAGTAGTTTTATAGACTATTAACTGACTATTGGGGAGATAATGTTTTGATACCAAGCACCTTACACAGTGACTGTGTTCCGTTACACTACCCCCTGCTTTTTTAAAACACAGTTGCATCTTAACTTTGATTTCTTCATTCAAAAAGGGTGCGTCAAAAGATAAATATACTTTCATGTTTTTTTTTAAATTGCAGTGTAAAGGGCGGATTGTACCACATCAACGCGGAAAATCGATCGAATGCTGCGATGGTTACGACTTTTGCAACAAGGACCTCAGGCCGCATATAGAAGAGCGAACTACCACCGTCTCGCCTTCTGTATTGGAAGAGGGCGAAAATATCCCGTACATCGTCCTATTGGCATCTGTAACGTTATGCATAACCGTCTTCCTTCTGGTGATCGCGTGCGTATATCTACGCTATCGCAAAAAAGAGGATCACAGAAAGCAGCAATATTACAATAAGCACTACCCCCCGCATCGTTATCCTAACGTCGAAATGCTTCCAAACGCCACCCTCTCCAACTTCATAGAGCAAACTAGCGGATCCGGCTCTGGCTTGCCGCTTTTAGTGCAACGGACGATCGCGAAACAAATGGAAATGGTCCGTTCGATCGGTAAAGGTCGATACGGCGAGGTTTGGTTAGCGAAGTGGCGAGGCGAACGAGTCGCCGTCAAAATCTTCTTCACCACCGAGGAGCAGTCGTGGTTCAGAGAAACGGAAATATACCAGACGGTTCTGATGCGTCACGAAAACATACTCGGCTTCATCGCCGCCGATATTAAGGGAACGGGGTCCTGGACGCAAATGTTGCTCATAACTGACTATCACGAACACGGGTCACTGTACGATTATTTGCAAAATCACGTCCTGGATCCCTCCTCGCTCTTAGTCATGTCGTTTACCATCGCTAGCGGATTATCGCATCTGCATACGGAAATATTCGGCACCAAAGGAAAACCCTCGATAGCCCATCGTGATATTAAAAGCAAAAACATACTGGTGAAACGCAACGGAGAGTGTGTCATTGCCGACTTCGGGCTGTCTGTCAAATACCTCAGCGACACCAACGAGATTGACGTACCGCCTAATGAGCGAAGCGGTACCAAACGGTACATGTCTCCCGAAGTATTAGATCGATCGATTAATATTAACCACTTTGACGCCCACAAAATGGCCGACATGTACTCCTTCGGACTGGTTCTTTGGGAGATGTGCAGGAGATGTATGACGGGCGATAAAATAAAAACCGCCGACGATTACGTGGTGCCATATTACAATTGTGTGCCTAACGATCCGAGTTTTGAGGACATGCTCCATGTGGTTTGTGTTAAAAAAATAAGACCCCAAATTCCGTTACGGTGGGAGACCGAGGACGTTCTGCAGACGCTTTCGAAAATAATGCAGGAGTGTTGGCACAGTAATCCGGCAGTTAGACTGACCGCTCTTAGGGTTAAGAAGACGTTATCGAAGTTAGATACGGACATTACCAGTAAAATTGTTTAGCGTCGATATCGGTGTTTATAAATCACTCGTTGGGTACATTTTTCATGTGTATTATTAGTTAATTTTGTTTTGAGAGAAATGTGATAAACTACTAGACATTTTGCCATCGGTTTTTTAAGTTGTTTGTGCGCCTGCGCGATCTGGACAGTGCTGCATTATAAAACACTGTATGGTCGAATCAATAAAATTGTTATAATGAGTGTTAATATTAAATAGACATAATAGCACACTCTCGCTAAATTTTAGTGAAAATTTACACTGTAAAGCCATAATGTGCTGTGATTGAATCTTTTATTTATATTTTTCTCACTTAAATTGAATCATTTGGGACTACGGAAAAGCCTCAGCAGCAAAACTTATAGAGTTGCAACTTTGTGTGTTTTTATGAGTAACAGTTTGCATCTAGCGAGAGTTTGAAATTATCTTAATGTCGATTGTATCGAATCGTAAGTGGAGGATTCACACAAACGCAATTACCTTTATGTACAAAACTGATTTTGTAAATAATTAAGTAGATTGTTTTATATATACATATACAAACATAACGAAGTAACTAAGGTTCGATTGTAGAAAAACGGTTTAGCTGATGAACCGAAAAAATCGCTTTACTACAATCCCGTGATAAAAGTTTTATTATTAGAGAAAACAATATTAGAATTGAACGTTAAACACGCCAATGTATTACGCGCGTCCGTTAGAAACGATACATAAAATCTATTCCATCAGATTCGGTGCTCATACGACAATCTCTGATTTCACAGTATGGATGTGAGGCGAATGTTCACACAGCTTTTGTTTTTTAACACCGGTTACAAATATGCACAGTTATTAAATATTTTCATATTTTATTCTGTACATTGTTTTGTTTTTGTTGTTCAAATTAATGAATTGCTCAAGTTATTTATACAGTTTTAGCATGTGCCTGTATTACGATATTGTGGACCAACTTCAAAAATTTGTAAAATTTATTTTGTGCTTCGGGTCATTATTATGGGTGACCTCGTTACATTGCAGTAGGCCGAGCGACTAATACGTGCATTTATGCTAATCTATTAATTTGATAGTTTATACTTTACAAATTGCACGGTGTTAATTAACGTTATTTAGATATTTAAAGGGCCTGGAAATATATCTGCTGGATTCAAAAATCTTCCTTGTCATAAGCAAGAAACTATGAGGCTCATTTAATATCTTGGATAATGTTACTCAACATCCTGTATATAATAAATTTCCGTATGAACGTTGTAGTAAATCCTGAAAGACTGATATTTGAATGTTGTAGACCTACATGTATGTTCTATTGTATAAAAAATGTATAAATAAATAGTACATGATATCGAACTTTATTGAACTTGTATTTTTTGAGTTTTCTTTATCACTCGATAGTGAATTTTTGTTATACAAAACCTTAGCGTTAAAAAGCCGATATGAAACCATCCTTTAATTGAACAATAAATGGATTGTATAAAAAAAGAAAATAAAATTGTGCTGAATTAGTCGCCCATTCCTATGAAAATTCAAAATGCTTTAATCTACTTCATTTAAGCGTTAATCGATTCTACCTAGTAATTTAAACTATTTCCTAAAATTTTTGAACTTGCTGTTTTTGAAATTTTAAAAGAAACGTTTAAAAACTATAAAAAAATAATGGTTTTTGCTCAATAAATCAACTTTGGCAAGTTCAAGTCGTATAAAAAATTCACACAAATCCAGATCAGGCATAATTCATAAAAATTACAAGCAATTTGTACTCGAATTTGTATGTTACGAAAAAAGTTATAAACAATTTCATTCAAAAAATACAATTTTATCGTTTGTATTTTAGTTTAGCTATGTTTTAGTGATACAACCACAGACAGTCTGTGATACAACTATAATAGTCAGGGACACATTTCTGAAAAAGTCTCTTAAATCACGTCTAACGGCGTTTTGTGCTACAAAACTGGCAACAGACGGTTCTAGACTAATTTGCCCCCGCTGAAAATGATGCGCCCTGTTGCCAGACCCTTAGCCCTTAAATCTAAGATGGCGGTAAAGTGTAGGGCAACTTAATTTTTTCAAATAGAAACTTGAATATTCTTATTCTACATCGGAAAATAATCAACTTTCGTGGGAAACTTTTTTGAAGACACTTCTAAAAGCGCTATTTTCGGATTGAGCTAGGAAGCTGTTCTGTCATGAATTTGGCAACTGGTTATTTGGGAGGTTCAGCGAAACTGACCACTCGAAGTTGTTCATGCCCAATCGTCTCTTACCTGCTAATTTCTAACACAAGTGTACAGGAAACGAAGGTTTTGACAGTGCAATTAAAAAAAAATTAACTTCAATTTTTGACAGTAGACAGGAGAAGAATCAAAATCTATTATGCCAAAGGGCGCCTTCACTCGGTGAGTGGTTGCCACCCCATCTCGTGAATGGAAATGTTTAGCGCATTCCACAAAAATAAAGCAAATCCGCAATTCGGCTATTATGGCCACTTTCCGTCCGTCTGTCGGTCCCTATACTACTGTGTCGCTACTAGATCTTTATCTTAAAAGCTATTGTTCTACTTTTAACGCATTTTTGCAAATTTATTGGTAAAAAGGTACCTTTAATCTCACTTTGGCCGGCTGGTTGGCTCGCAGGAAATGCGGGTCCGTAGAAAAACGCTCTTAGAAAGACGCCTATGTGTGATGATTTGCGGTCAAAATTCAAGAACCAAAACTTGCATTTATTGAGTGAAATTTGTTAGGGAAAAAATTAACAATTTAACTTTGTAGCGAGAACTCCGAAAAGTCGAATAAGTCGCAGAGAACAGATTAAGCAAATTCTGGCTTGCGAGTTACCTGCAATTATATGAGTCCGAATAGACTTTTTTTTCAGTAAATTCCGGGACGAAGAAAAAAAACGATTATTGTACATGTACCTATCGGTGCCGTGTAATTGACTACTTTAGGGATGGGGCTTGTTATTCTAATGTGGTGATTTTTCAGTTTTTTTCTATCTTCTTTTACAGTTTTGGTCGGGTTATTTTCAAATTGGTGTCGTCGGAAAGATCTTGTAAATGCGCAAAACGACTGCGTGACTGAATTTTGTTTTTTTTTCCTAATAAATGGCCAAATTAACCACCTTTTGCAAGGGGCGTTTCTTCGAGGTGTAGTCGACTTTGGGCGCCCAAAAGTTCCTTAAACCTCGAATTGGCGCGGTCTCTCTTTCTCATGTCTGTAATAGAAGCTCGAGCTATGAGAAATGACTCAAAAATTGAGTACTATTTTGTGGAGGGTCTTTGGCGAAACCTACCTAAATGCGAATCGCGGGTGAACGAGACGTCGGAAGTGGGTACCGCCAAAGGGACGGCGGTTGCCCCCAATTGAGCTTACTGATGGTAGAGGCAAAACCGGCTTAGGAATTTTTGTCTGCGTTTATTACTAAAAAAGTTATCGGAAAAATTATTTTTTTTCATGGACCACAATTTTACACTTTGCCGGTTATTCTCCCTATTACTTCTATAAGCCAAGTACCTACCTATGCTTCCTATTATTAAATCAAATTGAAATGGCGCGTCAAATAGGTTGTGCATGCGCAGTGTTAAGTTTCTTATGTGTGGAAGGATTTTTTTATATACATCTGTTAGGTTGGATTTATTGAAATTGTTAATGTTTTCAGTAGGCAGGCAAACTGTCTAATTTCTTCTCCAAATTGTCAGAATAATTGTTGAAGTTGTTAGTTTTAGACTAATACAAGCATTAATCCCTCCCTCCTCTAGCAGCGCGCTCTTAAATTTACGTCCGAGTATGAATTTCGTTATTTATCACTTCGACATCGATGTTAAAACTGAGACTAAACACAATTCAGTCTGCTGATACATATACAGGGTGTTACATGATCGCATGTAAAAAAATTTGGGTGATGGAGTGGATCAAGACAAGCACTTTTTCCAAATAAACCAAGGGGTCCAACTTGTTTCGTTTGGGAGGCACCCCCAAAGCTCAGCAACCATAAGAGTTACAAAGATGGGTGACACGTCTTTGAATAGGTTTTCGGGTATGCCCTATCCTATTTTGAAAAAAAAATTCCAAAATTCTTACCACGAAAGGGCGTGAAAGATCCACTAAAATTGTTGGTCGGACAACGAAAATGGAGAGAATTCCACGAAATTTGTTGTGTACATATTTGATGAGCTAAAAGAACAAAATTGTCGAACAGTTTTTTAAAATAACTTTTCAAACAAAAGTTAATAAGTTATACTCATTTGAAGATTGAGCCTTCGGGTTACTAAGTGGCCCCCGCCCACTAGTGAGTAATCTAATTTCGCAATGTAGTGAATTGAAATGTCGCAAATAACAAAAAAATAACGATTACGATACTTGCAAAAATGCGTATTGATTGTAATGGAACTCACTTACACTCACAACTTACAAAGCATTTCCGCACTACTCGCAGCCACGGAATTTTTGGAATCGAATTTGTAGACTTGAATACCGGCGTGATCGACATATCGAATTTTTGGTGATCATTTATTAATCATAATATCGACTTAAATCAATGTTTTTTGTTATTTGCGACATTTTCAATTAACTACATGCGAAATTAGATCACACACTAGTAGGCGGGGGACACTTTGTAACCCGAAGGACCAATCTTCAAATGAGTATAACTTTTGTTTGAAAAACTGTTCAACAATTTTGTTCCTTAACTCAGCAAGTATGTGCACAAAAAATTTCGTGGAATTCTCTCCATTTTCGTTGTCCGGCCAAGAATTGCCATGGAACTTTTCTTTTCGAATTTTCAAAAACTAATTCCAGATTCGTCATTTTCATGTTCAAAAACCCCCAAATACCAAATTTCGTTGAAATCAGAATTTTTTTCGCACCCCTGCTAGAGGTGCGCCCTTTCGTAGTAGGAATTTTGGAAAAATTTTTTCAAAATCGGATCGAGCATACAAACCTATTCAAAGACGTGTCACCCATCTGTGTAACACTTTAGGTTGCTGCGAAAAACATTAAAGAAGTATTCCTAATTTCACCACTTCTTTGGAAGTGGCTCCCAAACAAAACACGTTGGACCCTCGGTTTATTTGGAAAAAGTACTTGTCTTGATCCCCGATTTTTTTTACATGCAGTCATGTAACACCCTGTATAGCAAACAAAAAGCTGCTAGAAAATTTGGCATAGAAACTACAACATGAAAGTTTTCTATAAAATGTTGACGCATTGTTTGTGTTCAAAGTTCTGCAAAATTATGAAGACAGTTTACAGCACAACAAACAAGTAAAGCTAGCGTCCCGTTTCTGGTCACCTTTACCATGGCTTGCTATCCACCCCAAGATTGTGAGGAATGATTTGAATGGAAAAAATTGTGGTAACTGGGAAAGGTCGATTTTTAATTAAACCATTGAATAAGCACTATTCAATGCTTAAATTATCAAATGTTTGAGAAGACAAAATATTTCCCAAATTCCTATTCGATAGCAGCTTTAGTGTTCATTTCCAGTATTATTGATCATGAAATATAAATTTTTTGCATTACTAAAAATTTTTGTTACAATGGCAGAAGTGCAAAGGGTCCCTATCTACCATTGATTTTTGACTAAGCACATTAAAAAAGTTTAAAATGATTATATTTCATACTTATGCATAATTATAATAAATTAAAACAAAAGGAATTATATATTTCGAAATCACATGTATTGATAGTGGTATCAATATTAAAATAAATGTATCTTATTACTAAAGTGAATACTGAAGTGTAGCATGCATTGCATAGTTCCTAAACTACGGTATATAAAGTTGCATTTACAAAACTTTGATCTTAATTTAGAACTAAAATAAATTAGCGCAGGTAACAACTTTTATAATATACTCTCAACATTTAAATCAATAACAATTTAAAATATATAGTACAGGGCGTGAGATAAAAATCGTAAAAATTTATTACTATTATAACAGTTGCACAGTTAATATATCTCGTTATTTATAAAAATTATATTATTTACTTAAACCAAGATACAGTCCGAAGGAAATGGCAATAACGAAACAGGCACCGACGATTAAAAATATTATTTTCTGTTGGATGGAACGCATTATCATCATGTTCATTATTCGGGATGAGTTGCCCAAATCTTCGTTTGTTGTTCTTAACTGAAAACATTGATATATAAACTTACACATAGGCATGGAATAAAACCCATCGTTTGTGTGGGAGAAGAAACTTAAATCTTTGAGAGTTGATCTTGGAAAATGGGAACAAGCAGGACTTTTAAAGAAAAAGAATTATTTTTCTTAAAAAAAAAAAAACGTCGATTGTTGATATAGTGAACACCTCATGACGGGACAGAATGTATATGATATATTGATATGTTCATAAATACCATATTTACCATTCTTGGCAAACAGTTAGCCGTACAGATGAATAGCCAGGCATTCAGACTTTTTGACGTTACTTGCAATATGCGCGATACTTAATATCGTGGCTTGGAGAAAATGCTAGAAATCGTTTTCAGTTTCCTACAATCACCACGAAACAAGCACTCCAAAGCAGAAAAGCGAGATTTTCCGAGAATACTAAATGGTACAAGCTTTAAATTCAAATTTCTTTGTCCTTTTATTCAAAATTATTTTTTTTATACATTTGTACAGGGTGTGATAAATTTCGGTTATCTATATCTGAAGACCTTGGAATTTAAAAATTTTACGATAGATTAATGTTTTATCAGGTTTCTCTATTCCTATTGTCAACTGTTTTTTTAATTATCTTGATCATGAAGCACAAAGACACTTTCAAAATCCACATTGACAAATCGATTTGTCGTATACAGTATGTCCAAAATTTAATAACTACATAATCATTTGAAGGATTCAAAAAGTGTTTTTCAAATATGACCCCCTGTACATTACTCGATGGTCAGATGCAGCATTTTATTATGCATTGATTCGGTATCACTGTTTCTATATCTATTTCTAATGGTTTTTTTGTTAGTACATAACGGGCGATCAAAAATGAGTTGCTGTCGAGTCGCCTTTGGAAGTTCATGTTAAATACAATTTTCCATGTAAACAAAAATTTCAAAGGCGACTCGACAGCAACTCATTTTTGATCGCATAGTATTACTCGACATGTTATATATTTGAATGTGGTTTTTTTGCAGAATCAAAAATGGTTTTGTTTTTAAATACTAAATGAACAAGACTGAAACAGCAGAAAATTGGAATAACAAGACAACCAAACAAATATAACTTACTCGATCTCTTGATCTTTGTATGGTTTCTCTCTGTTCATTTAAATTCTGTAACACCTGTGTACCAATCTCTTGCGTTTCTAATATAACTCTATATCCATCATCCAGCCGTTTACCCGTCCTTTCGATTCGTTCCGAATTATCTAGCAGCTTTTGTTTTTGATTCTCGCTTATTCGTATATCTTCGAATTCCTCCTGCGATTCGTAATTAAACGTCCCCTGCTTTATCGACCGAGCCTTTATGTATTCGAGCGTGAGACGTTTGAGCTCTGCCCGATAACAGTCGAGCTTCGTTTTGCACCTTTGCTGTTTCGACATTTCCACCTCACGAACTTCCAAATCCATTTGTTCGAGCTAGAAAATCGGCGTGGCAAACTCCCAATCCGATTAACTCAATCACGAAACTTACCAATTCCTGCGCCTCTTTGACATTTTTTTCAATATTTGAGATAAGCTGACGACGATCTTCTGAGCATTCCAATACGCCAAAACAAATGAAGGTTAGGGATTTTTAGCAATTTAAATCGTAAGCAAAAATGTCTTACTTGAGCCCGATGTACTCAAAAGGCCAATTTGTGATGTAATATCTGCTGTTAGTATCGAATATTGCTGTTCGTAGTTCTCAAACAGCGAAACCATCTTAACAATCCATAACCTATCTTTTGCATTTGGTACAATAGAGGGCGTGCAGACGATGCGACGTTGCCAGTTTCAAACTGTATTAAAAAATAAATCTTAACAAATTGTTTGAAACTTGTATAGTTATAAATTCAATGCTTGTAGTTTGTTGTTCCAATTGTGAAACAACAAAGGTAAATTAGGTACAATAAATTCTGCCTTCCAATCTAGTTTTTATATCTCTGTTCCAACTACACCTATATCTAAGCGTGTCTCCGAGCATCAAGGAGCATGCGTAATTATTTAAAAATCGAAATCATTTTCAATATAATTTGACCACTAGGTATGTAATTAGCCATCTACCTACGCAGGTGAAGATTATGGGGCTTTATGATAACTTAAACGTTTTAACCCGCTCAGTAGATTTTGCTATGTAGCAATTAATGCCACAGTTGTTTCCACGGTAAGCTCCATGGTATGTACAATTATAATCACAGATTATCTGTGGTACAATTTATAATTCGCGATTCAGATTAACACTATTATAGAGGCGCTTGTGTACCGTATAATTTACAAATGGCGTGTGTAGTTGGGAGCGTTTTGTACTTGAGGCCAAAATTATGCTATAAGGTTAGCAGACTTTTAAGTGAAATTCTATTAATTTTAAAGTGAATTGAGTTTATCATGACATTTTTGAGAGAAAATGTTCTAACCTGAAAGGCCGTTTTCTTAAGAACTCAAGGCTGTCTTGAATTGGCTTAAACACGCGATTAACTTAATTTTTTAATTACATAAATAAAGATCACAATTTATAATTCAATTTCTAGCGCACTCGTAAAACTCGCCGACATTCCCTTATGTCGATGACGCTTTAAAACAGCCAAAAGCCTTACTATTCGTGGCATAATTACACTGACGACCAACAATATTTTTCCAAAGATTTAAATTATGGTCTTACTATTTGTCGCATAATCGCACAGACTGCATGTAACATTCTTGAATGTGGGATGTTTTAAGATATTCTGCTTTATGTAATTTATGCCTATCGTGAGTAAGTAGCGCAGTTATACCTACTAATCTCAAATCAAATTTATTCGAGAACGTTGCATAGGTATGTTAAAAAGTGATGCTTTAAGGGAACTTTATTAATTGTAGCGTAATTACACTAATTGCCGCTGAAGTTTTTCAAAGTGGAGTGTGTGAAAGAATAACGTATAATATAATTGTACTGTTCAGGTTCACAATTAAAGACTTTCGGAATGTTATGCGTTAAAGGTTAGCTAAAGGTTAGAATATGATTCCTTACATTATCCTTATTATTGGTTAAATACGTCACAATTAAAACGTTTGGAAACTACTAAGATGACATTATAAAGTGGTTTAATAAGTGAAGTGTAAATAAAATGAACCAATATAAACAATGAGCGACAAGGTGTTATAGATATGTACCTATGTTACGCCACTGGTGAGTTGACCAGAATAAATCATATGATATCGTGTTTGGTTTTATTAGAATTACGATAAATCTCCAATTATAAAACATGGTGTCAGGTGTTGTTGGTTCCAGTTAGTTGTTAAAATTGGTTCCAGCATTGAATTGATAGTTATAAATTCAATGGTTCCAGATATAGATGTTATCTGTTGAAGTTGTTTATCGTACACTTTGAAGATATAACCTCAAAATGGAAGAGTTTTTCAAGGCGCAATCAAAGTGTATGGAGTTGTTACAAAAACAATTACAAGAGATGCAGCAAAAGATGCAAACTGCATTTCCGGAGGCTTCCACGAAACAGATGTCTAACGTACCTTGGCCAAAACCGCTCCAGGTAGATGAGGGGGACATTTACGAAAATTTTCAGCTGTTTAAAGCAAATTGGAAAGTTTATGTAAAGGCAACAGGTATGGATCAGTGGTCAGCAGATAGAGAAGAACAGAAGGTGAATATTTTATTATCAATAATTGGAGATGTTGCAAAGGTTAAGTTTAACAATTTTTCTTTAACCGATGATGAAAAGAGCAATGCAGATGAAATGTTGAATACCAATGGGGAACGGTTAATCGCTAGAACACATCCTCTGTACGAAAGATGGTTATTTCACTCGTGCAATCAGTTGCCGGAGGAAAATTTCGATGCATATTACTGTCGCTTAAATAAATTAGTCGATAGATGCCAATTTGATAAGATTAACCCGCAAGAGTTAAAAAAGATCATGCTAAGAGACCGAGTAGCATTTGGTATTCGTGATGACCAATTAAAGAAAAAGTTTCTACGAGCTGATCCGGACAAGTTGACGCTAGATGAAGTGATCCAAACGTGTAAAGTGAATGAAGTTACAGAAGATCGTTTTAAGAACATGAACAGTGAAGAAAAGGTGGTTAATACGATTAAAGGTGCTAAAAACAAAGATCAGACAAGTTCGAAAACAGATACATTGTTAAGGTGCAAGTTTTGCAACAAAAAGCACCCTTTTAAAAACTTTACGTGTTCAGCTTTCAAACATAAGTGCAAAAAATGTGCAAAGATGGGACATTTTGAAGTTTGTTGTTATAAAGGAAAACCAGTTGATCACAAGAAACATGTTAAAGAAATAGTTGAAGACGAAGGTGAATTTGAAGATGCATCTGAGAGTGACGATACTGAGTTAACGATACATAAGATTACGGATAATTCGGCGAAAAGGTGGTAATGTTCAAGCAGAGGTTCCTGCGTTGATAGAAAAACATAGACGCTACAATAAATATTATTACGACAAAAAGGGGAAGGATCTCCCACAGCTTAATATAGGCGAGGGGGTACAGGTCCAACTCAAACCTGATACAGATAAACGATGGCAACCCGCTACAGTTAGTCGCCAGCTAACAGAAAGAGCCTATGAGATTGATACCGGAGGAACAAAATATGTCCGTGATAGAGTGAATTTAAAAGATAGGGCAACATCTATACAAGATTTGGAAAAGGAGGAAAATCTGATTCATAAGGAAATGCGAACATCCTGTATTCCGAAGGAGCAAAATCAAATGAATAAGGAAAAGCCAGCATCCTGTGTTCTAACTCCAAAAAGATCCCTACATGTTGATCCATCCGATGAAATTTCCAGTGTCCTAACACCTAAAAAGTCGTTAAATATGAATGAATCGGACAGGCCCAAACGTAACATTAAACCATTTAGATTTAAGAATTTTGTTTATCAATAGTTGTAAGTTACTTATACTCAGTTAAAAAAAAGGGGCATGTTATAGATATGTACCTATGTTACGCCACTGGTGAGTTGACCAGAATAAATCATATGATATCGTGTTTGGTTTTATTAGAATTACGATAAATCTCCAATTATAAAACACAAGGTATTGACCAAAATTTTATCAGTTTGTCCCTTAGCCATTGTCTACCTATCACTGAAAACAGAATTGGAAAATTCTAAACCGTTCGCAAGTTACCATGTACACAGACACAGACGGATGGACGGACGGACACACAGAAAATCATGTGCTGCCATCAGAGATCTGCGCTGCCGGCGTCCTTTTCTTTCACATGAGAACGTACGGTTGTCGCAATTTTAAGTATCTACACGGTGTCTATTTTTCGAGTGCCACTATGGGGATCTCGCTTACCTGAAGAGATAGGGAGTTGGTTAAATGGGGGCAAAGTTGCGAATTTTCGTGCTGAATAATAATCTGAAAAGAAATTAAAAATATCTTTAGTAGTTTTGAAAATATCGCAAAAAAACGTTATTCAGACACTTTAATTTTTCGGGAAGAGTGCTTTGGAAAAACAAAACGTTCTTTTATCGTGAACAAAAGTATGACAGTTTGATCCATCTGTCTGGTTAGAGCGTTGGCAGGGAACTAGTTGAGTTGAGATTTTCATCTGAATATAATTGAACCTTCGTTTTGCAAGAAAATTAGAACAAAATACTTAAGAAGAAATAATATTTTCGCAATAAATCTAGCACAAACGTAAATTACACTACTTGAAATAAGTCAACCTTTTGTTCACAACAAAAGAACGTTTTGTTTTTCCAAAGCACTCTTCGCAGAAAATTAAAATTGTAATTTTAGAAAAATGTGTTACTGAACCACCATGTGTGATATATCGTTGTAAAGAGAAAAAAAGACGTACCTAATCTCAAAACGTCAAAATCCAAAACGGCGCCCATAAGAAAAATTAAAGTTGCCACGTGTTTCTCCGTCATCTTAAAAGTTATTGAAAACCATTAAAAAGTGTGAATACTGTGTTAATTAGAAATGTCTAGAACGATTAGTTTACTATGAAAAAATTAAAAACGAAAATCAGAATCTTTTTTTTTGCGATATTTTCAAAACTATTGAAGATATTTTAAATTTCTTTTCAGATTATTATTCAACACGAAAATTCGCAACTTTGCCCTCATTTAACCAAATGTCTATCTCTTAAGATAAGCGAGATCCCCATAGTGGCACTCGAAAAATGGACACCGTGTATAGCGCGCGAGAGAGGGAAATGTCTGTATCGTTCCTTGTGAAAGAGAAGGACACAGCGTAACATCTGCTCGAGGTGTAGGCATCGATGTGAACGTGCTCTCTCCATGTGATAGAAGCACACAGAAATATTAATTACATTACCTACAGCCGTACCAAAATCGAACTAGGTACCACTATTTTATTTCGCTGTTCGATAGTCTTTTGTGTTTTCTTGAATTTTTATAACGGGTGGCCTGTGTATAAACGCCGTAGTTTTTAGGTTAATATTTTTCACAAAAATACCTACCCGTTAATTAATTACATGCTTATATGTACCGGAGTGAAAATGTTTCCAGGTTATCGAGTTTTGAAAATAAACGCTATTATTTTAAAATTTATTGAATGATCGACTGAGGAACAATAATTAATGATTCCAAACATGAAACAATCAGCAAACATCAGAATCGGTTTTAAGCACCACATAATGTTTTCTTAATTATCGTTCTTCTTTCATAAAATTTTAAAACAAATAGCGTTCATTTTCAAAACTCAATAACTTGCAAACAACAGAATTGAGGTACATTATGCTTCTTACAAATTTTGTTTAAAATTAGAAGAAGAATCGAAATATCAAATAATATACAAGGGGTTCCTTTAATAAATGCAATTTTGGTGTGTAACGCCTTTATGACTAACCCTGTATAATTAAAATTATTACTTCATAGTAGATATTGAAGAACCCCAAACTGTCGTATAACAATTTTTTTGATTTCTTGTATATTTTCCAGGATAATCGACGTTTTCTAAACTTATCAGCGTTTATTTTCAAAACGATAACCCGTTAACATTGAATTTAGCCAATTTAGATTAAAATCTTGCTTAAAATTGAAAGAATAATTGAAATGTCGAATAATATACAGGGTGTTCCATTTGTAAAAATTTTGTTGTGCTACGCCTATATGACCAACTCTGTATAATTAAAATTATTACTGCCGTGTAGACATTGAAAAAACCCACAACTGTTTTTTTATATCCTGTATATTTTCCTCGATAATGACCGGTTCCTGACTTATCAGCGGCTCTGTATATGTGTTTATATATGTTACGTTTAGTTAACTTTTTGTATTTTTGAATAAAATGTTTTTGTTTATTTAAATTAAATAAACCATATTTACTCAATTATTTACTAAAAATCCTGCTAAAAATGTTACCCCTACCTAAAAAACAGCTTTATTGTTTTTTTTTAATCTCTTGTTGCGAGATAATTTATACGAGTTCCTGAATGTAATGTAATGTAATAATAATGAAAAAGGCCAGGCAAGGTGTTGCAAGTTACCACCTTAGGGGATTACCTTGCAACACTCCGTATTTCAAAAATATGTATATTAAATATTGTAACGGAAACGCTCCAGACATGACGTCACCTTTGGCGCTCTGGAATTTTCTACGCGCGCGATAGTGGGATTTGTGTAGGAATATTCGAGACTGTACGCGAATGTGCTGGACTTACATTGCTTGCGTGTATAAATGGTTGCGGACCGAACATCGCGGCAGTCTACTACCGAACGAGATCGAGTACGTATGAAACATCGAGCGCGTAAATATAAATTGCGAAGTGTGTGATATAAATGATCGATATAAATTGTACGGTTTTTATAGTGTTTTAGTTTTGTTTAATAAATATTGATATAAATCGAACCCGAATTTATAAATCACGTTACAATATTGATTTAATTAAAATCGGATACTACACCCTAATTTTGGTATCAATTTTGTAAAATTTGATTGAAAGTATTGCAAGTAACCCCACTTGACGGTACATATATTATCGGGGTGTTGTTGCCCTGTATGATCCTATTAATTGTTTAAACCGTGGAGAAAGTACGATTGATCGCCGTGTGAGTTTTTATGTAGGTACATTCAATTTATCATTTGACGAGTTGGATTAACTAAATTAATCCGTAAATGTGTTTTAAGGTGTTTTTCGTAACAATTCCATTTATAAGATTTGAAGATTCTTTTGTTATGTTAATTTATTAAAAATACCAAAAATGAAATACGCTTATTACAACCCTTTATAAATACTTTGCATAAATGATACCTAACATGATACACGAAAATTAATCCATTTTAAACTAAAGATTATATCTATAGGAACAATTGAAAGGTTGAATGTTTCTAATTAGAATTACAAGGTACAGAAAGATAAAAACAACAATTTTTTCGTAAGGAACAGACCACCACCATATAAAACTAAAATTATTCTTCTGGTCCACTTATAGAACTTGGTTGTTACAATCATACGACTGACATTTGAAGCAGTTACATTTATCGGAACCAGCACACGGATCGGTCCCGGGCACCAAGCGTGGAGTGCACTTTCTTACTTGGGTTCCATTACAATCTCTGCCAACTATAGAAAAAAGTGGGTGAACAGCAATATTAAAACATTCAATCGTACCTGTCTCTCGATAAGCAACACAATATTGAGTTGTTATCTCAAGCGGATGTCCAGGGTCACATTCTTCACCTTGAGTAGTAGATCCACTTCCACAGCCGTTTTCCTCACCTCGGCAGGTTAAGCAATGTAAACCATAAACTAAAGAAATGATTACTCTTAAAAAGCATGGTGAAATTTTTGTGATATAGACTTACCGCCATAGTTAACACATGCAGACATGGCGAGGGTAAACAACAAAATTGCAAAATTCATTGTAGGTACTTAGTGTGTAGCAAATAGGAAGGTACTTACCTACCTAACTGATTTCTTAAAACCCGCAGTTTGTATTTATACTTACTTTGGTACTTGAGAACCGGCTGTAAGTAAATATGTTTTTTTCAAAACACTCAAACTGATATTAGATAAAGATAAGATAGATTTAGAATGTAGATCTGTAAACAAGCATGGCGAAACTATAATGCTCCCCTAGAAACAGGTGTCCACGAGCAACGATAAGTGGACCAGAAGAATAATTTTAGTTTTATATGGTGGTGGTCTATTCCTTACGAAAAAATTGTTGTTTTTATCTTTCTGTACCGTGTAATTCTAATTAGAAACATTCAACCTTTCAATTGTTCCTAGATATAACCTTTAGTTTAAAATGGATTAATTTTCGTGTATCATGTTAGGTATCATTTATGCAAAGTATTTATAAAGGGTTGTAATAAGTGTATTTCATTTTTGGTATTTTTAATAAAGTAACATAACAAAAGAATCTTCAAATCTTATAAATGGAATTGTTACGAAAAACACCTTAAAACACATTTACGGATTAATTTAGTTAATCCAACTCGTCAAATGATAAATTGAATGTACCTACATAAAAACACACACGGCGATCAATGGTACTTTCTCCACGGTTTAAACAATTAATAGGATCATACAGGGCAACAACACCCCGATAATATATGTACCGTCAAGTGGGGTTACTTGCAATACTTTCAATCAAATTTTACAAAATTGATACCAAAATTAGGGTGTAGTATCCGATTTTAATTAAATCAATATTTAATATAAACCTCTCGCCAGGAAAGATTGCCGGTCACAGAACACTTGATCCCGATCTACAATCTATGTTTTTCTTATGATGTGAGCGACTTCCGGGGTAGTATCGTGTCAATGTTGAACAAAAAGACTTTTCGTTCAACATTAGTACGATCCTATTCCGGAAGTCGCTCGCATCTTAAGAAAAACATAGCATTGAATTTATAACTATCAACACTCTCTATTTAAAAAATATGTAGGTATAACCATTGAATTTATAACTATCAATTCAATGGTATAAATTATCATGTCCAAACTCCAGTGGCGCCTTGATTGAGAGGATACGCTGTATGTCTAACAAATCCTTGAGAGTATACGGCGTATATGTAGGGTGACCATAATTTTTCAACAAGAAAAAAGTACATTTATAATTTATAAGGGAATGCACTGCTAAAGCTAATACTCTAGGAAATTTTTCTGGTCACAATTTTACGAATCTAATCAAACAGTAAGAAAACAAAGTTTTTTTTAATCAAACATAGGTACATAAATTATGTGTCTTTATATGTATATATAAATTTTAAAAGTTAATTTTCTTCCGACGTTCCTGCCTGAACATTTTAATCGTCATTTTGGTACCAGTCGTACTTTTTTGAACCATGAATTTACTTCAGAAGTTGCCATTTCATCGATCGGTTGCTGAACAATGGATCAAAATACCTACAACTAAGCATAATACGCCAAAGCATCAAAGACATGCAAGAAGTCATAATTATATTTCGTTTGGACAAAAACTATGACTTAATTTTGTGTAATTAAGAAAAAGAGTACATTTATGTGTACTTGATAAATCGTAAAGGACAATAGGACAGCGTTTCAAAAGAAAGTACTGTCCTACTAAAAAAAGTACATATGGTCACCATACGTATATGGAGTATTAGTATACCTGTATACACCTATGCTTTGAAAATTTAGGGAAACCACGATGAGAGCTTAATTAGTGTGCGGCTACAGCGATCTACCTCTAAGTAACCCTGCACGGTAGGAATGTGGTGTCGATCGTACCTTTGAAATCGTGTAATGTTAGTACTTATATAACTTAAGTAATGTTAATTTTTCAAAACACTTAAACTGATATCATATTTAGAGTACCTATATTATTGTAAACAATTAATTGTGAAACTCTAATATATAGTCCGCTAAGAAACATTAGTAATCGACAAGGAACCACTTCGCATTATCATTTCAAAAGGATAAAATATTTGTTTACAAACGTCGAAAATTTGCCCATCGAAGTTCTTAAACATGTCATGTGCGAACAATTTGTTTTTTTTTTCAAAAGAACAAACCTACTATAGTAAACTGTGTCTATGCGTGAATAATTTACGTGGGGCACTCATAAATAATGCCTCTGTATTTTTAGCGCATTTCCACAAGAATAAAAAAAAATGCGCTATTGTGGCCACTTTGTCCGTCCGTCCGTCCGTCCGCTCGTTCTATGAGACGCTACTAGTTCTTTTATTCTAAGGGCTATTGTTCTAACTTTTTTCGCTATTTTGGTTCGTTATGGTGTCGAGGCTTGCACCAATAAGGACGGAATGTTTTCTGCGTTTATGCTAAAAAAGTTATTGTAAAAAAACCAACAAACCGGTTTTTTACATTTCTTATAATTTTACACTTTTGCCGTTTATTAACGATCCTACAGATCGTTTATAATTTTGTATTGCTGTCTGTCGTCTGTCTGTTGGTCTGTCCCTCTATCTGTCCGTGTGAACGATAACTTTGTTAGAAATGTCCGATCGCTTTTACATCTCCGTTAGTTATTAACTGAATTGCATGAAATTCAATATGGGCATAGCTTTAGCCATATAATACGCCAATCAAAAGTTGAGTCGAATCGATTCAAAATTCACAGTGCCCTTTTCGCATCTCGACCATTTATAAAACCGAATTGCAAATTTTTTATTTATAAAAGTATTGAATGAAATTTGATACTAGGCACTTGGAATAAAGGAAAAACTAACGCCCATTTCAAAATTTGTTTTGCGCATGCGCCGAGTACCAACTTTTTATTTATGGAAGAATTTAAACGAATTTGATACATAGGCACTTGAATAAAGGAAAATCAAACGCTAGTTTCAAAATTTGGTTTTGCGCATGCGCAGTGCCAACTTTTATTTATGGAAACATTTAAATGAAATGTGATACATAGGCACTTGCGAATAAAGGAAAATCAAACGCCAATTTCAAAATTTGGTTTTGCGCATGCGCAGTGCCAACTTTTTTATTTATGGAAGAATTTAAACGAAATTTGATACATAGGCACTTGGGATAAAGGAAAATCAAACGCCAATTTAAAAATTTGGTTTTGCGCATGCGCAGTGCCAACTTTTTTATTTATGGAAGAATTTAAACGAAATTTGATACATAGGCACTTGGAATAAAGGAAAATCTAACGCCAGTTTCAAAATTTGGTTTTGCGCATGCGCAGTGCCAACTTTTTTATTTATGAAAGAATTTAAATGAAATGTGATACATAGGCACTTGGAATAAAGGAAAATCTAACGCCAATTTCAAAATTTGGTTTTGCGCATGCGCAGTGCCAACTTTTTTATTTATGGAAGCATTTAAATGAAATTTGATACATAGGCACTTGGAATAAATGAAAATCTAACGCCAATTTCAAAATTTGGTTTTGCGCATGCGCAGTGCCAACTTTTTTATTTATGGAAGCATTTAAATGAAATTTGATACATATGCATTTGGAATAAAGGAAAATCTAACGCCAGTTTCAAAATTTGGTTTTGCGCAGAAGTTGCATCTTACAAATGGGAAATGCAAGTGGAAATGCGCTTTATGTAAATCGTTTACGATTACTTTTTAACTTGTTTCTTTTTAATTGTGAAGAAATTAAACTGTAATTACATAGCTAGCAAACAAAACCTTTTCAATATAATCTCCGTCATTTTCCACAGTTTTGGTTCATTGGTAACTTATTTATTTATTTATTTCTTCCCGCAGTCAGCATGTGCATATCCCATTAAGCATCTACTACAATAATTGCCACATATATTATGACACAAACAACAACTTTCTTCCGCTCACATAAATGTCAGTTTTTTTAACTGTTTCGATAATACATTGTCAGAGCGGAGGCTTCCACGACCAGCGTCCTTAAGGCTGGACAGTACATACAGAACATATGTAAAGTTTCCTATTGAGTATTGACAATCCCCAAATTTGGTTATTTATAATATTGATTTGCGTTCGATGGTAGAAACATAACCTTAGACCAATTTATAATGCACATTTTCTATCTGTATAATATAAAACAAGCCGCATGGCGAAAGCTATATTTTCGCTTTCTCGAGGTAAACTTTTAAGTCGTTTTTCCAAGATAACTTATCTATAAATGATTAATGAAGTTGCTATAAGTCCGTAAAGTTAATATCTAGGCAATAACGCCAGGAAAATTGGTTTCCTTTTTTCTTTTTCAAAATATGGAACCCTAAAAGCCCCGTTACCCCTAAAAAAAAGATTATTTGAAAACATCTTAAGAAATCCCGGCGTTATTGTCTAGTTAAAGCATGCATTCACCTCTCACAGGAATATTCCACTCCTTCTTCATCTTCACTCAGAATTCAGATATCGTGGAACGAAACCAAGCGTTTTCGGGCAACGCAACGAAACGGGTGTACTGTCCACCCTTAAGATGCGCGAGCCACTTCCGGGATAGGACCGTGTCAATGTTGAACGAAACCTCGAACGAACGAAAAGTTTCTTCTAATTTCGTAAGGGACTTCATCAGTACAATCAAAAATAAAGAATACAACATTCTTGCCAATGAGCCAACAGGAGCAACTACTCCACTACCGCGCACGTGTTAAAACACTGGAAAAGAAAAGGCTAAACCTATTTAAATCTATTCCGTCAGGATAAATTGGAGAAAGTGACACATCCAACCAATGTGATAGCAGATTTCCATTGCGGAGAAAATGATCATCTTTCACAGTGCCGGATTTAGTTCATGGACAGCCGGGGGCTAAGTCATACTATGCCGCCAGTAGGTAGGGAAAAAAGCTAATTTTTGTTTTTTTTTGTAATACTTCATTTAATTTTTGTTGTTTTTCTAAGGTTTGTCGTTTCCAAAATGCATCTCTTTCATTTCCGCTCATTTCTTAGAAACTTCACGAAAACACTCCACTAATAAATGAGTGCAATTTTCTGCGCTAACGCGTAATGATGTAACGGAATTGACGACACGGCGTGTCAGAGTCGGACACGCTGGCGGCTGGCGCTGAGACAAAACAATACTCAAATTTAAACAAACCCCTAAAGAGCATCTAAAAAAGCGGCATAGCACCTCGGTGTGACCCTACCACGAACTTATAAATAAGATGGACTGCTGATCAAACAGTTGCATAGAGGTATAAATGACCCTAGCATGGGCGCCGCCATGATGTGCACATTTTAGTTATTTTCTAGGGGAATTTTCCTAGTGCTCAAGTTTTGAGACTATTGCAGCCTTGGAAAATGACATGAGTCACAGTAATTTATTTAGAAAACGTGAGGTTAATGTTGGGTTAATGCTTGTTTATTAGTTGGTTTGAATTTCGCGCTAAGTGAGTGCACATCATGGCGGCCTCCATGTAGGTGTCATTTGTTAATTCAGCATTAGCAGTCCATCTTAATTTATAACTTCGTGGACGCGGTCATTGGATTTGACCCATTTTCAATTGGCTTGTTACAAGTGGCATATATGTTGTGATTTACCCAGGTTTTTTGCTAATAACTTTGTTATCATCATTTTTTTCGCAAAAAGTTAGGAAAGGGAATTTGTGAAGCTTTAAAATACGAATCCAATGCTTCTTTATTTCTCGAAATTGATTGGAAACTAAGGGAGTTATGATTTTTTTATCGTATCAATAATCAAAATCAAAATATACACAATTTATGTAGGCGTTGACAGTTGACATATTTGCACTGGCATAACGAAAACCGACACAAAACCAATATTCTGTCACTACATGTCAGGGATTGATTAATCGGATTGATTAGCAATATCGCTAAGAAGGCTCTTTTCAAAGACACAACACAAAAAAACAGTACAAAAAAATATATATCTCTGCGTATGTCAGTTCTGAACTTTAGCCAGCCTCTGCTACGTCAAATCGAGATATTAAATGTCGGTATCAAATATCAATATCAAATATAGCACAATAAATATTCGAAACAAGTCACCCTGCCAAATATTAATAATCATAATCACCCGGTTCAAATGAATAGTAGGGTAGGACTATAACGATAGTATCACATTACAACAAACACAAAGAAACATGTCGTGGCAAACATTAGTATCAAGTAATTAATTCACAATGCCAAGTGCAATATGTAACAATCAACCACCTAACGTACGTCACTCGCCCCCAGATGAAGCACCCTGTAAATAAACCGTAACATATTCATGCAAACAATAGCGAAATGCGCTGCAATAAATTCAATTAGAAATTAAAATGTAGTTCTGCATACTTGTATTGAATATAGCTCCTAAGGGAACATACAATACTTATCTAAATATAAATAAAAACACGTAAATCGGTCAGTAATTCACAGTAAGACTAGTATAATTAAAAGTGCAATTTGTATCTAGAATGTGTTATAAATGGCGATAATCATGCGGTACGGGAATAACATTAAATTGGCAAATAATCGAACACGATCATATCATTATTAGAGGGATGCAATAGACGTAGAGATAAAAAGGCGAGTACATCACCTTTGTAATTGTCGAAGCTGCACGCACTATTCGCAACGTAAAGATTTACTTCTGGTCTCAATAAAAGCACAAATACTTCTGTCCCCTTTTTAAACAACTCCTAGACGAAAACTTTACCGCCGGGGGCTAATAGTCCCATAGCCCCCCCCCCCCCAAATCCGCCACTGATCTTTCATCACGTATTACCTAGCCAGGCAAGGTTGTCTGCATTATTTTCTTAACTTAACCCCCTAAGAAAGAAAAAAAAGATTTGTAATGACGTCACTTGACCTATGTGGCCATTAAAAATATTCAAGATTGCGGCCCCACTCAAAAACCATGTAAAAAAAAATTTTTTATAATCTGAAAATTAGTGTGTAAAATAATTTCAAATGGAAGCGTTACCTACCATTCTCATGGATATATCTCAAACGCTTTGAGCGTGAGAGCTTTGGTTCCATTTTTAATAGCGACGTAAACGAAATAAAACTCTTCCGTTATCGACAGACAACGCACAGCCGAAACTACTGGGCGTTGAAAGTTAAAATTTGGGATGTGATTCCGAAAGTGCGGAACATAGAGACTTGATATTTAAAGCGTATATGTTTTTCTATGAATGATATATAGTTATACTTTTTTAATGGAACACCTTGTATATTATTACTTATTTTGATTGTTAACTCAATTTTTAACATTTTTTGTTAACCATATATTATAAATTCATTAGTTTCCTAGAAATCGGCGTTTCAAATATAACGGATAACAATGCGATATTCGAACATAGACCATAGTCGTATTACCTGAGCAAATGAAGTTCATTTTCAAACACTTTTTAATTAAAATAGAGCCAATGATAGAGCCTTTTTGCTTTTTGTGTAAAGTTAACTTACTAAATTGTTTCTTGAAATTTATTTTGTACTTTTGTAATTGATCGAAATTACATGATATCTAGGAAATTAGTGAATTTAGGTATAGTATATGGTTAATCAAAATGTTTAAAATTGAGTTGACAATCAAAATAAGTAAAAATATACAGGTGTTCCATTAAAAAATATAACTGTCATTCTCCACAACTTTGTAGACGACCCTGTATATTCCAATGTATCACAAGATATGTAGTATTTTAATTTAAGCAGCTCTACAACTTTTATACTTAACAAGACATTTTTTGATATTTGATAAACCCTCTATAATTTAAAATATAAACGACCGGTCTGTAATTTTTCCTAACCCTGTATTAATAGACAATGATTTAGCACTTCTTATTTTGATATGTTGCATATGTATGCATGTAATGTAAACTTTACCGATAACCCTTTTTCAATTTTACTCATCAAGATTATACCATGATCAAGACTGATTTCCAATTCTGAGCAAACGTTTTTGTGTGAGTCACGTTGAGTATTAGACCCGAATTGAAAGCGTTGAAATCTGACAACGTCGATCAGTCATTTTCCTTTTCCGATTTATGTTAACCAGGTTAGTAAAATTTTGTGCGGTCGCAAAATTTTTATTTTTAATCATCGAAGTATTTGAAGTATATTTATTATAGATGTTTAAGTTAGTAAACGTGAAATTTTGTGTTTTATAAGTTGGTGGCCGTATTTTTCCAATTCTCATAGAAGATCGTTTATTTTTTCAGACGAAATGGTACAACGTTTGGTGTTTCGTAGACGACTGTCGTACAACACAAAATCCAACAGGAGACGAATGTAAGTGCACTAAACAGCTTAATTTTAAAAGTAATTGCCAAAGCAATTGTCCGAAAGAAACTTCAAATTTAGAGGTTAGTTGTGTCTCACATGATGATACACTGGACAGAGTTCTGAAACATCTGTTGATACCCACCAATACTCGTTCGTTACCGTGTCTGATTTATACCTAAAATCTTTTTGCCACACCAATTCGTTACGTGCATTAACAAATTGTTTAATTACAGTGTTCGTACCCCTGGAGGTCGATTAGTGTATCAATACCTAAAGAAGCCGAAGAAGGTCCCGAGATGTGGAATGTGCAAGGAGCGTCTACGCGGAATACTTCCTGCCAGATCTTATGAAAAGTCCCGTATATGTTATCGTAAGAAGACAGTGAAGCGTGCGTACGGTGGAGTACTTTGCCATAAATGTGTAAAGGAAAAGATTGTGAGGGCGTTCTTAATTGAAGAACAGAAAATTGTAGTTAAGGTTCTTAAAGCTCAACAAGGTGGAGTTGCTGCCGCTAAAGCTAAGCCTAAGAAATGACTACATTAATAAATGTTTATATTTAGAATGGTTTTATTTTGAAAACTGAGGGTGCTTTGTGAGTCGTAATGTGTGTCTCTTAACTTTCCCATTTTTATATGTACAAATTCTTGGGGACCACTTTGTTCACCAGTATTGTGCTAAAGGTGACCACCATTTAGACCAGCAACAGTATCAGACACATGTTGAGCCCAAAAATTGGTGGTGTTGACTTGGAGTGAGACATGCGACAACCAACTGGTCTCGGGGTGAACACAAGTTCTACCCTTCATGGTACTCTAATGGAAGGACTCGTCGAAATGAATTGGTTTTCACAATCTGTAACTTTCCCGCATGACTTCTTTTCGAGAAGAGTTGAGGTGGGGGGTGGGAGGGGTAGAAATTAATGTTATCTTTCATGGTATTCTAATTAAAGGTCTCAATAAAAGGAACTGTTTTCTGCCAACTACCGCCCTTCTTCCTCACTCCTAATCAAAAGAGAGTGTTTGGGGGAGTTGAAACTTGTTTTATCCTTCATGGTACTCAAATGAAGAACTGAATTAATTTCTACCAACCATCGTCCTCCTTGACCCCTTATTGTGATCAGATATAAATAAATCCTTATTTAATAAGAAGAGAGTGTCAGAGAAGATCTCACAAAAGGCGATTGAGACGTCTGGAAGAAATATATATCTATTGATGATGTCTAAATTTTTGAAAACGAATTGTTGGAAGGGGGTACTCATAAAGCGCAAGTGAAACATCAGGACGAGACATATACCATATCTATTGGTGATGTTAAAACTTTCAGTGCAAATATCCGCAGAACAGTGTCTGAGAAAATGTACGTCTAGACGAGACACATCTACCAGCGATGTAAAAACTTAATTGTCAATATCTTGAAAATGTTGGAGGAAGGTACCTACAAAGGGAAAATGCAATATTTTTGAGAATTTCTCTAAGGGCTTGTTTCGTCTTGCATTTACATATATGTTGTAGTACCTATAGCGTCTATATTTGCGTCTGAACAATAAATCCATGAAATAATTCATCAATATCCATGGGCAAATTCATGAATTAGTTGATAGATGTAATGTGGGCACTCGTCATTTATAGTTGTGTTACGTAGCAACACCCACGTGCGGGTTTTGAAACATTTTTTTAGTGTAACACGAAATTGAGGTAACGCTTAGGTATAGTATATGAGCTCGATTTTCCGTCGTCTGTCTGTTCCATCGAGATCTCGGTTCCTGGGCCACCATAGATTCTAGTAGGAGAGCTGGTGGACATTTTTGGGTATTTGAGGCACGCTGAAAACTTGTCCACCACTTCTCCAATAATACCCAAGCACAGAAATGCAAACCTGACTGAGGAGTAAAAGCGGGGCTAACACCTAGCCAGGCGCCTTCAAAGTTTGAAAAAAGAATGTATTCCCAGTCGAGTAGCTGAATGCATAAAAAGTAGGTAGTGGATGATCTACACATAATTATAGTGTCGTCTGAATTAGTTGTAATTGTATCATGTTGAAATTTTCATCGTTTCGTATGCCGAAATAAAGACAATTCTCCTGAAACTTTCGCTAAAAAGTGATCAAAGTACACTAGGTGTTCATGTATTTATTGCGGTCAGTATACACTTCAAATCAAGAGTGCATTGGCCCTGCGTCATTGATTTGTCAATCAATTTCAGACAAGATTTTTTATCGATTTCGCATACTTGATAGTTGTTGCAGCGTTTTAGCGTATGTCTGAAATTGATTCACAAATCAATGACATTATTTTTTTCAAACTTTGAAGGCCCCTGGTAAAGTGTTAGCCCCGCTTCTCCTCAGCCAGGTATGCATTTCTGTGTTTGGGGATTATTGGAGAAGTGTCGGACAAGTTTTCAGCGTGCCTCAAATAACTACCCAAAAATGTCTACCAGCTGTCGGACTATTCGGGTTTTTGGTAATTGAAAGCTGCTATATGGTCTAGAGTCAGTTGCGTTACGGTTTTGAAACATTTTTTAGTTATGGACCGTCCCGCAGTGGTAGTACAGGCCCGTGTGGCGCAGATCAGTTAAAGCTGAACTGTGGTGCTAAGGGTCCCTGGTTCGAATCCGGGTTCGGGCACGGATATTTGTAAATGTATAGTGGGTTGGGTGGTAGAGCAGCCTTGGCTGAAACCTCGCCTACTCAAAAATAAAGGCAAAGTAAATAAAATAAATAAGTAAATAAAAATACATACCTAATGGCCAAAACTTACGCTTATTTGTATATGTATTTGAAAAATAAAAGAGACTGATAGTGACTAAAATACTTAGTTACCTATATCTACTTTATTAAAGAAATTAATCAACACTGCAGAAATACCTAGGTAATAAAGGTAAATAATATCAAATAACTTAAATATTATTGGCTATGAAATTCCAATATTTTATTATGCTGCTCAGCATATCCATTTTTGGTACGTAATAGTAACTAAAATGTTCATAGGTACAGTACTTTTTCGAAAAAATGAAAATTCGGTTCAGTCTGGGAATTCAGTCAACTTTACCTGAAAAAAGGACGCGTAACAAGGAAAATGACAAATTACCTGTAAGGTTTTCCATTAAGACCTATTCATTAGCCTGTTTTGATCAATATAAGAACTTGTCAAAGGCTACCGCATTACCTTTGTCGGTACCCGCTTCCGACGTTTGGTTCATCCGCAATTCGCGTTTGAAGTTTTATGATTTATCTCCACCACCAGTAAGATTTTGTCGCCCTTTGTCGGTACCCGCTTCCGACGTTCCGTTCATCCGCCAATTCGCATGTTGGTGGATTTCGCTAAAAATTCTCCATAAAATAATACTCAATTTTTTGAGTACTTCCCATAGCTCGCGCTTCTATTCGAAGACGCTCGTCTTGCAAAAGATGATTATATTCGCCTCTACGGAAAAAAAACAAAATTCTGCCACGCAGGAGCTGTGCACGTTTACAAGATCTTTCCGACGAACGCAATTTGAAAACAATCTGACCAAAACTGAAGAATATGGGAAGAAAACTGAAAAAACACCACGTTAGTGTAACACGCTCGGGGATGGCGCCCAGAGGTCGCCGACCCCACATCATGTAGCACCGTTCCTAAAGTTGTTAATTACACGACTCCGGTAGGCGATAGGTATACATGTACACTCCTCGTCATTCTATACCTATAAGCGTTCTTCTACGGACCAGAGACTTGTTACTATGGTCTCTGCTACGGGTCCGCATATGCTGCCAGCCAACTAGCCGGCCAAAGTGAGATTAAAAGCTACCTGCAACTTTTTTACAAAGATGCGCTAAGAATACTCTGAATGTTGGTATCGTCATTGACTAAATTAATTTTTTATTGTATCGATTAGTTATACATAAAATAATGTGTTGCAAAAAGTTGCATCGGCCGGGAATCGAACCCGGGCCGCCCGCGTGGCAGGCGAGCATTCTACCACTGAACCACCGATGCTTATAGTAGATGGGCAGACTTGCAAAATGTGGTTTGTCCGTATTTTAAATTTTTTAACTGAAGGTGCATTGCAATATACGATGAACAATTTTTCATTCAACGTTCCGCTATTTACCACCCTTGCGGTATCGTTTCATAAAATATTGGACGTCCAAACCGCATTTGTGATTTATGTATTGTGAAAATCAAGTAGGTATACAAGGTGGTGCTTGCGGAACGCATCATAGGAATCTCAATGTAAAATTCATAACATGCGATTATTATTGCTCCCCAAATTATTTTAGAGCAAAAATGTATTAAGGTTTTTTATAGGAAAAAATTTTTTACGTCAATCAACCGTATTAGTTTTCAATTTTTTGCATAATATAAAGACGAGAAATTGAAAAAATAAAACCCCCATCTTTTTCAATAATCTGTGATGCTATGGAATTTTATAATACAAAAACTACGCCAATATCCGTCATGCCATGGAATGTCTACTATAAAACAAATCAAATTCTATCAAAAAGTATTATATTTAGACCAGCGAATTCAACATAAAGAAAGACCAAATTACTAAAAACGGTTTCCTAATATAACAATAATTTATACTCAGTGACATGGAAATTGCAACACCAAGAAGGAGTTGGAATTTTTTGACCAAACTTGGCAGAAAGGTTTAACTACTAAAAGGTAACAATTGATTAAAATTTCATTCATATGGATCAATTGGTAATGGCTTATTTGACAGTTCTTTCATTTTTTTCTAGTATTCTTATATCGTGTACGTTTTGCGAGATTTTGTTCAGTTCTTATTGTTTTCGCTTTTAATCGTTTCTTTTGAGGCTGTGATCATGCCTAGATACGCCAAAGTGGAAATTACCGCGAATTAAGAGTAGTTGACAGGTGTCGTATTGTTGGTTTGGGCGGAGGTGGTTTTTCGTTCACAAAAATTGCAAGTCACCTTAACCGAAGTCAATCCACCATGATTCGTTGCAATCGGGCATGGATTTGGGAAGGGGCAGGATCGTCGTAGAGAGGAAAGGGAGGGGGCAGGAAAGGGTGGGGGGCGAAAAAGAACAATTGAAGTGCGGGATCGCCATCTTTGACTTATGGCAACAAGAAACCGATTCTCTAGTACCAGGTCAATTGCCGATCAATTGTTAGCTAACGAAGGTCGTCCTGTAACACTTCGAACGGTTTACCGCAGAATCAGAGCTTACGACTTGCAATCCTATCGGCCACATCTTTTGTTACCATTAACAGCTCAATACCGCTAGCAGCGTTTGGAGTGGTGTAGGTTGCGACTGCACTGGAACCTAGAGTAGCATTGGGTGGTGTTCAGTGATGAATCCCGATTTTGTTTGGGTATGCATGATGGCCGTATGAAGGGCAGCCGAAGACGTGGGGAACGTCGCAATGTTGAATTTTCTGTTATGAGGCATGTGCACTAAGCTGTGGGGACTATGGTATGGAGTACTATAACTTATGGGAGTAGGGCTCGTTTGTTATTCATTCGAGGTAATATGACCCCCCCAGCGATATGTGGATGACGTGATAGAACCCGATATTCTTCCATCTCTTCAGCAGTTGGAAGACCCACTTTTCCAGCAGGATAATGCCCCTCCCCACATTGAAAGACGTTCTATGGACTTATTTGCACATGATAATGTCAATTTCTTGCCATAGCCACCCAGATCTCCCAGTATATCGCCTATCGAGCAAGTTTGGGACATTATGAAGAGAAGACTGATGAACTTACCGCATCCTCCGCAGACGCTGCAAGCTCTACACAATGAATTAGAGGTTACTCACAGTTGCTTGGGACACAATACCTCAAGAGGAAATCGGCCGTCTGCTAAAATCGATGCTACGAAGCGTGAGGGAGTGCGTAACCAATAGGGAGGGACTACTATTATTATTAATAAAAATATGTTTATATTTCATCCTTTTTCTTTTAAATTTTAATCAATTGTTACCTTTTAGTAGCTAAACGTTTCTGCCAAGTTTGGTCAAAAAATTCCAACTCCTTCTTGGTGTTGTAATTTCCATGTCACCGAGTATACAATAAATGTTCGAATAAGTCACCATTAACTGCAAGACAGTAACCAAGTCGATCATAAAATCCATTTCGAACTGCTGCTAATTGATAACTGGAGATCTTTTAGTTTTAGAAAATTCCATGGCATCGCAGATTATTGAAAAAGATGTGGGTTTCATTTTTCCAATTTTCCGTCTTTATATGAACAAAATTGAAAACTAATACGGTTGATTGGCGTAAAAAATGTTTTCTACAAAAAACCTTAATACATTTTTGCTCTAAAATAATTTGGGGAGCCAATAATCGCATGTTGTGAATTTTACATCTAAATCCCTATGATGCGTTACGCAAGTCACCACCCTGTATAGCAGTAGACAAATTCAATTCACTGAAATAAAGGCACGTCGTTGTCATAGACACTCATATGTCTATGGTCGTTGTGTGCACAGGGTGTTCCAAATTGCTGGTTTTCGATGTTTTCGGGAGATATTTTGCGATCTAAAAAAGATAGCGTGATGTGGTTTGCACTTCGCGTTGTTACTTTTCAACGCTGCATAGATCAAGGATACCAATTTTGACGTATGACTTGCGCGAAAGTGGTAACAGCGCAACAGTCCAAAAATATGATAAGTAATAGTTATTTACATAAGTCAGAAAAATGGATTACTGGCAAGGAAATATTGAAGTGCGAGTTGGGGCCGAGTACTTTAATTTCCGATTTACTGACGAGTTTTGTATTAAATTTTACCTGAAATCGTATAATATAAAATTTCAATTTTTATACCTATAAAACATTTGATCAGTCAGTGATGGCAGGAGTCATTATAGGCATTTAGCATAGCCGTCTATAATTAATAATAATAATAATTAATAAGATTTGAGGACGATTTTGGGTAAAAAGTTTTTGATTTCAGTGTGGGAATATTAAATAAGTATCAGGAATAAACGTTATGGCAGAATAGTCTCTTATAGTAAGGGGGCATATTTTTATAGCCAGAGCACCCAGGTTTTTTTTTCAAATAAGGGTGTAATATTTTTTTGCTCCAATAAATGTCTGTTTTAGTACTCAAAATACCTTTCACAAATACATCCACCTTATTTTGAAGGTAATTAAAAAAGTAACACATTCCCAAACCATAATTGGAATTTTGAACCCTTTGAAGCAGATCCCTAGTGATGTTGGTGGTTTCTTTGAATCATTTATTGTTTCTGGATTTGTTTCATACACTCTAATTTTTGCAAACCCCCCCAAAAAAAATCGATATGGTGTTAGATCGGGAATGTGTTTCTGGCGAAACTGTACAAGGGCTGTAATTTAAAAATTTTGGGGTTGTCACCGTCCAACAAAACTCGCCCTTTATTGATACCGAAATTTTCAGATTTTTTTCTTCACTCGTTTGAAACTTATAGCTCCATCCCGGAAACCCTGTATAACTGCGTATACTTATAAACATATTATATACTGTCTGAACTGTGAGTACAAGAATTTCTCTCCATTTGTTTAAAAGGGAACAGTTTAAGTAGTGAATATGTTAGAAATCCCGATAGACATCGAGGCGCCATAAGATTAGTCGTCGGCGATAAGAAACGAAATGCATAAATTAGGTATTCCTGTAAAAATCAACATTCTCTGGAACTACTTATATCTGGTTGTCTTGACTATTAGTCTTAGTGAAGCATATTGCAAATTACATAATTCAATTTTTTTACATTTTCTTATGGTTGAAGACATTCTGTTGGCTCCCTTAGTATTCCTGGAGCAAATTTTATTCTTATAATTATTAACTTACCTCCTTAGAAGGCTGCATAACCATTTAAAAACTAATTCAACTGACCTCACTGTAATTGAAACATTTGAGTTTTTGGTAAATTTTATTTACTATTAATTTAACAATAAAACATGTGCTCGTGAAAACAATACTAGTTACAATTTCTACATCATCATAAACGGTTCATGTCTTATTTTTAATGCACATGTAAACATTGTTTAGCGTCAAAATCACAGATTGCAACACTTCTCTAAAAAAAATTCACTAATATTGATGAGATATGCCGTCCCAAATTGACGTTCAAAGTAGACTAGCAGTATCTATTTGTAGATGGTGCAATCGGCTTAATTTTCAAGGTGTATTACATTAGGCTAATGGAAATGATAGTTAATTGACAGTGTATAAGTAAGTACAAAACTCAGTACAAATAAGACAAGTTGGTTGATATTTATTTTTTTTAAAATTTCAATATCCTAGGGAGGTAATAATAAAATCGGTGAACTAAGGTGAACACATTGGCACTGTTTTAAGTGATCATTTTGCCGAATAAAATAAAACTGCGAATCACATGTGCTACAAATGAAACGATACCCAATAGCTTAGTTCAACTTTGTGTACATGTCCTCAATTTGCGGCGTAAAATACGATTTAATCTGTAGCCGTTTCGATTTCAACGTCGGTGTTAGTAGTCCATTCTGTACACTGAACGAATCGGGATGTAAATAAATATCTTTCACCTAAAAATACAGGATCGAGCACATTTCCCAAATTGACGGAAACTAAAACGTACCTGCTCAAATGATTTCAAACCGCTCTCTTTTCCTAATGCCAGCATGTCATCAAAAATTAATTGCTTCACTTCAGGATGATTGCACAATACGCTTAACGTTCCCACGATTCTATTTTCGTTCGCCCACTTTTTGATTACGTCTACATCCGGTACAACGATCGCAACGATGCACGACTGCAACAGATTCGGCTATTAAATTATTAACGTCGATTGCGACTTACCTTCAAGGATTCCCCGTGCACAAATACTTGTTGCACGTAATGGGAACGTACGTAAATATTTTCTATTTTTTCTGGAACTATATACTCGCCTTGGGACAGTTTGAAGATATGCTTTCTTCTGTCAATTATTTTCAATGTCCCATTCTGAAATGAATTTCATATTTAAACTGAATGTTCTAACGAAATAATGCATGATATTATAGGCAACACACAATACAATATTATATGGTGATATTCATTTAGAAGTAGACATAGGAATTTGCTATGTCTAGTTTTAAATGGCAAAAACTCTTCTGAAGGACGCCTAATTTTATACAACCAAAATAACTTCTTAAAACAAATGAAGATTTTGCTGTCATATTAATTAATTGGAATGGTATTACTTTGGCTTCTGTATTTTTACTTTCATTCCTGTGTAATGTATTCAATTGAAGTTGATATTGTCAATTGGTACAGTGCCGGTAAAAGTTTAAGGACCGTAAGAAACTTATTTTCTGTATTGATCACTTTAAAATGAGTGGTTATTTAAATGCGCTCCACATAAGACAACCATAAACAATCCTCAATTTTAACGGAGAATATGAAACTGACTGTTTTAATTTTTGTGAAATCCCATAAGAAACTTAAGGGAAATAGCGGTCGAATTTAATATTTCTTCATCATAACCAAAAAAGGCAGTATAACGCGGAGTGACGCATCCGGCACTATGATGGCGGACGACGCGATTGCAGGAGGTGAGAGGCTCCACAAGGACGCTCTGTGCTTCGATGCTTCAAACGGATTTCGACGGAGGCAAGTGCCATCACATGTCATAATCGAGGTTGGTGCTTGGACAGTGGCGCGACAACGCATTTGTGTAACAAGCTCAATTAGTGGCAGACGGCATCGGCGGGGGAGCCGATGATTCTCTGGGTAGGGTGTCAGTAAGCAGTCACCGAACGAGGCTTCGAGGTGTCGTTCAGACAGACAGAGTTGGCGATTTGTATTGACCTTCTGCATCAGCGGTTGGGCCACGCGAACACGGAGGACATCATAGACGCGGTGCGCAACGACCGCACCCGGGGTGTGCGACTCAGCGAGCTGCGAGGCGACGGGTCTTGCGAAATCCGTTGCGACGATAAGCGCGAATTATTTCATTACTTCGGCGTTGAAATTGGAACTGACCGAAACGCAATTCTATTTACTTATATAGCAAACGAAAGCTCCTTAGTTTTCTAGAATGTTCTCGAACAAACATGTCATATTTCCCGGAAAGATTGCGTCTTCGCTCTTTATCGCTGATTCTTCTTCTTTCTCAATTTTTATTTTATTTATTTATTATTAACAACTTTAGGGACGAAGCTACATGATGCGGTCGGCGACATCTGGGCGCCATCCCGAAGGGTGTTGTAGTAACGTGGTGATTTTTCCTATCTTCTTCTACAGGTTTGGTCCGATTGCTTTGTAAGGCCCGTGCTTTCGAGGGATAGTCGACTTTGGACACCCAATAGTTTCTTAAGAGCTCGAAACGCGGTGAAGTAAGTGGTTTCTCTTTCTCGTGTCGCCAATAGAAGCTGGAGTTATGAGAAGTGCCCTTAAAATTGAGTACTATTTTGTGGAGTTTTAGCAAAATTCACGAAAATACGAATTACGGGTGAACGGGACGTCGGAGGTGGGTACCGACAAAGGGAAAGTGGTAGCATTCAACAAGATCTTATTGATGAACACGCGGACTTTGATAATTTTTTATTTACATCGTAACCTTAGAATATTAATTAAATTAATTATTTGCAAGTGGCGGCGCGGCGTAGCCTGACTCTGTGTTGTGTTTTCATTTGAGTGATCCTGCTGGAAAGGGAACCTTAAATCCGGGGCGAAGAAGGCGTTTTCCTCAGGTACGCCAGTAGATATACAATGCCACCCCTGGACCAGTTCAAGGTCGCTCGCCACCGTAAGGTGGCGTTGGAAAGTAAGTCAAGATGAAGTTGAAAGGTCGCGCGCCACGTGGCGGGGACCTTGCAAAGTAGGTCAAGGTGAAGCTTAATGGGAAGCACTCTCAAGGTCATCTGTGATCCATGACCCCATTTTTGTGTATCAAAGGTCAACGATACCATTTTTTGTGGTGCAATTGACCTTTAATAACATCGTGGTTGTTCCCTATTTCATTTTCAAGATCAATGACCTCTATTTTTTTGACGTGTCATGTTTTACTTTCAAGGTCATCGGCATGACGGCATACGAATTTAACCTTATGGAATTATACATGGAGTTGAATTAAGATACCTCTATACGCGCATGAATGCGGGAGCTTTATAATCGCCGAGTACAGTTGAAAGTGCAAAGTACATAACTTTCCAAGGCCATTATTTGAAGGGCTAATATTGAAAGTCTGACTCTTACACGTACATGTTTTAATAGATTAAAGAGTACCAAGGTCACAAAAGAGTAGTTCGTAAGGTATGCATAACTTTTCAAGGTCATTATCGCGCCCATTTTCCGAGGCGAACGACTGAACGAGTTCTTGATCTACTATGACATATTTGGAGAAAGGGAGAGGTGTAGGGATCCACGACTGATCGAACAAAGCTTTGACTCATTTTCCGAAACCGCTACGTGATTTTGAAAATGAAATACAACACCGCAAAAAATTGAATTAATTGCATTTTGATAACCTTGAAAATGACACTACAAAAATGGGGCTATTGACCTCTGATGACCTTCATGAAAGTAAAACATTACACTTCAAATAAATAGAGGTAATTTTAAATGTGGATAACCTTGAAAATCAAATATGGCACCATAAAAAATGGGACCAATGATCTTGAAAATTAAATAAGTTACGACAAAAATGAGGTGATTGAACATTTTGGAGATAAAATATGACATGAGACCATTGACCTGTTATGACCTTGAGTAAAATGTGGCACCACCGCAAAAATGGCGTCCTTGCCGTTGACCACCGATGACCTTGAGTTACACCAGTCAACACACGACCTTTCAACTTCACCCTGATCTACTTTCCAAGGTCACCACAAGGTGGTGAGCGACCTTGAACTGGTCCATGTTCGGCATTGAACATCTACTTACGCCAACGAACCGAAAGCGTACCGAATTTGGTCAATAAAGTGTAGAAAAGTCCTCATTACGCGCGATGTAAGATTTTTGGACGAAAAGAAGCAGGTGAAGTATACCGTCGACGACGTCGTGCCGACAACGTTCACGAAGTGGTTAACGAAAACGTGGCCAGAACTCCGGGTCGGCCCAAAATCGCAAGAACCGGCACGAGAGGGCGCCCTAAGAAGATTTACCAAGTCAGGGAACAGCAAGACGCAGGAAGCTGCACAAGAGCAACAGACATCCCTATGGAAAATCTGGATGAAGACGGCCATGCGGGACGGAACGTCGACGAGTGGCGGAAGAGGTGACATCAATTCTCCGAAACGATACCTTCAAACTTGTCGATCGCCCTCAACGAGGCAAGGTTGTTGGCAGCCGCGTGGTTCTGCGAAATAAATTCAAGCGCGACGGATCCTGGGACAGAAGGGAAGCACGTCTAGTGGCTCAGGGATTCAATCAACGCCCGGGCGTGAATTTTTCAAGGGATTGTTCCATCCGTTTAATGGCGTCTCTAGCGGCCCAACGGACTTTGAATTAATTAACCCGACGTCGCTACAGCTTACCTGAACGTGAGCGAATTTTTATTTAATTTCGTTTCTGGCGCTAAAATGGCGGATTATCTCCCGAAATGGCATTGTTTATTGGTTAACCTTTTTTTGTACTACCCATCCCACGCAATTCAAAAATGCAGGCTTCAACAATCCCAAACCCGCGATTTTTTCCCGCGCCGAATACAGAATCGTAATCTTATATCTCCATTAAAAAGGCTGTAATTTGAGCTACACTCCCATACAAAATGAATATGTAGAAATGACGCAAGTTACGTTGATCACAATCATCAAAATAAACTATTTACATCAATAAAGACCAATATTTGCTCAGTACGCTGCATACAAATTTATAAAATTATAAGACTCATGCCCCTATAAATTCATTAATCAATTAATACAATAAATGGAATAGACATTGACATGGAAAAGTAACGATTATAGTGAAAACCTACCGGTAGCCATTGACCAATGTCTCCTGTGTGATGCCACCCTTGCTCGTCGATTACCTCCTTTGTCTTTTGCGGATCTTTAAAATAACCTTGAAACACGTTGGTACCCTTAACGCAGATCTCGCCTTGATTATTTTTCGCCCAGTACTCCATTTCAGGAACGTCGACTAACTTAACGCAGCAACATCCTACCGGCGGTCCGACATGCCCAGGAACATGATCACCTTGTACGGTTAAAGTAATCGGAGCGCAGCACTCTGTTTGACCGTAACCTTCGACGATCTGAAATGACAACATGAAATCGCGCGACACTCACCTTCATCTTACCAGGCATCCGAGGGCGCAACGAGAAAAGGTTAAAATATTTTCGGCTAAAGGTGCAGACCCGACGAGCATTAATCGTAACCTTCCGCCCATCGCTTCTTGAATTTTACTAAAAACTACTTTATCCCACATACTATTCTTACGAACAACTCCCCTATAAAATGACTATAAGTTTACCAAAAATACAATCAGTGTTCGTTACCTTTTAATTTCACCCTCCTTAGCACTTAGTGCCATATTTAACAACAATTTCCTTATATAGCTACCGGATACTCCACTTAAAGTCTTATCATAAATTCTATTTAATAATCTAGGAACCGCAGGAGTGACTGTAGGACGGAGAGCCTTCATATCGTCCGATAATCTACGTATATCACCCAAAGAAAATCCTACCGCGCCACCCATTAAATACATAGCGTTCTGAAATTAAAAAAAACATTTAAAAAATGGTTTTCAAAAAGACCAAAGTGTACCTCACAACATCGCTCCAACATGTGAGCCAATGGTAAGAACGATATTAAAACATCGTCCACTGTCGGTCTGTGATCGCCCAACTGCATCAGTACTGCGGCCACCGACGCCATTACGTTCTCGTGCGACAGCATTACACCCTTTGGATTTCCAGTGGTGCCACTGGTGTAACATATCGTGCATAGGTCTGATGGTTTCGGGGGCTATAAACCAACATAGTGTTATATTTATCAATAGTTGCAATATTACAAAACCACCAATAACAATCATGAAGCTAAAAAGGGCAAGAAAGTTTAAAGAAAGAGACACAGAAGAACAAGACATGCTTTAACGAAGAATCAACATAGTTATTACCTACAAGGACCCAATTCAAAAAAGCATAGAAGTAGCAAACCTCATCAAAGGGAAGCTAGAATTAAACTCCACGGTAGGTAAGTCTTTTGTCTTTATAGTAGGGAGGAAAAGAGCAAATAATATAGTACCTACCAATAAAACCGGATGCATGGTAAGATAAGAGGCAAATGGAGAAGAAAAACAAATTAGGAAGCACCAGAATAATGATCTAACATGAAAAGAGAGAGCAATCCAGGACTATAAAAAGCCAAAGGAGGGGAAAGCCGAAACTGCATTCATTATAAAAAAGGTAGTAGATGGCGCTGTGTTTGAAGAAACAGGGAAAATATAAACTGCACCAAATCATTGTAAAGTAGAAATATCCAGCACCGCGAATAGAAATAAATCAAATGATTTCACGGTTGGATCTTTGACAGCGTTTTGTTGACTCGTATTTTAACCAATCACAGTGAAGGTCGAACCTTCCCTATGCTTTCTACCGCTTCCTTCTTAAAATGAATAGAGAGATAGTGTAATTTACAAATGGAAACATGAGACCAGAAGACGAAAAACACGTAAGCTATTCGGACGATGGAAACTTTTAATAAAAAGAGAACCTTAACAAAAGGCCTCACTGTATAACAACTGCTTCCTTTTTCAACTTGACAAAACTTTTCCCGTATACGGACAACACGCGGTGAACTTTTCACACAACTTTGGTTAATTTGTTTCAGAAGAAATTTATTATAAAAAAGACGAACTGCGTCTTCAACAAAACAAATAAGGCTGACTGCCCGAGAATTGAGCGTAACCAAAAATTCACGCTCTTCAACCGTCCCGAAACTAGCAGCAGCCGCGTTTCCTCGTTGTCTCCAGGATTTAACGAAACACCACTTCCACCATAAAATAAACTCCTTCAAGAATTTTCAAATAAATCGCCATTCACGACGGAACGCGCCAACACCTGCGTTTTCGTTATGCGCACCAGAACACGTTCGTTAATTAAACTTCGTCTAATAATAAAACTCCTTATCACAAACGACCAGATGTAACATTTTATAAAATACGCAAATTTGACTAGATGTGTTACTTCTAAAAGGTGCGTTGACATGATGCAAGTACGTTGGCGCCAGTAAACCACACGAAAAACAAACACTGAAATACAAATTCAAATCAAACAAACTAACTCTGTGCTTATTGCGTACACAATCTCCCCAGATTTACTTAATAAATTGAAATATACATACAGGGTGTCCCGTCATTATTTTTGGTGTTTAAACCGAGTATACTTAGGGACCAAATTACCAATAGGCCAACACAGCAAACACGAGGAAACAAATTAAAATGGCACATGGATTCGCAGATGTGAAAAGGTGCCGAACAGTAAGAACATATTTCAGCGGGAAAGACCTGCACGAAAGGTAATTGGTGGCAAAAAATCAAATTAACCACGTAATAGTACAACAAAGACATGTAAAAATTAGTGAAAAACACTAAATATAAAAGAGAGGGTCAGATGGAAACTCTAGTTTTCCTAGTGCTCAAGTTTTGAGACTGTTGCAGCCTTGGAAAATGACATGTGTCACAGTAATTTATTTAGAAGACGTGAGGTTAATGTTGGGTGAATGCTTGTTTATTAGTTGGTTTGAATTTCGCGCCAAGTGAGTGCACAGCATGGCGGCCCCCATGTAGGTGTCATTTGTTAATTCAGCATTAGCAGTCCATCTTAATTTATAAGTTCGTGCTTAGAGAACACAAGAAAAAACATAACATGACGAAGAAAGAAGACTACAAGATAAAAAAAGGTAATGCCAGAGAAGTAGAAGTATTAAAAAACCTTGAAAAAAGATTAAAAGAAGGAGAACAAGTATTGACGAGGAATGGAAAGAGATTGAACAAAGCCTGAAACATATACCAGATGAAGTTCTAGGAAGAGAAAAGAACAAATAAGTGGTTTAATGCGCAGGTGTAACGAAGCACCTATTTTCCGCCTTGAAGCTTATACATACTTTCATAACCGCCTGGTACGTGAACACCCGGTATTTGGAGGTGCTTCGTTACGAAAAGTATTATTCCGGAATGATTTATTTCTTTTAGAAGTTGAAGATAGAAGGTGAAGGTAATTTCTAGAGTTGTTACAGCCGACGGTGCCGTAAACAAAGGCTGTAATTAATTCGCCGTTTGCAACCGTTCCCGTCAAGATAGTTCAATCATTTTTGTTGCGTCCGCTCATTTATAAAATGGAGCAAATTCATATTTTAGAATTTCAGTCCCGATAAGTAATTATTAGATGATATCGGTTTCCTATAATTTAAAACCAACATTAAAACTGTAATCTTTTAGCACCAAACGAGATACATTTGCTTATATGTACTGATTAGTCAACCTTTGTTTATACCAAGGGCTGTATTTGGCGGTATATGAGGTTATACTCGTAACCCCGATAGACAAATGGATTTCTCTATTAAATTGTTATTGGTGATTGCTCGTTGGTAAAAGAAAGAACGAAATTGTAACTCACCACCTCCTCATGATTCAACTTAGATCCAAGTAGTTCAACATCTGTAAAACGCACAATATCGATTCCCTTATTTTTCGCCCTTTGCTTCGTCGCCGCGTTAACATCCTTGAAAATTATAATCTTATTTAAACATGACGGAGGACGATCCAGCAATAAATGGCATTTCGCATCATCTTCACAAACGACACACTGTATTTCGGCTACAAAAGGAATATTATCAAAACGTTAGGGCTTGACTTAGTTCACCCACCTTGATTAATAATAAAGGCACATGCATCTGGACCGAGCGTATCATACAAAGGTACCAGCACCATACTGTAGCAGTAAGTCGCTTGCTCCGTAATAACCCATTCTGGACAGTTTTGCGAATATATTCCTATGAACGTCTTTGTGCCGGGAGATAATCCTTGAGCTATTAGACCGGATCCGAAGTTTTTAGCACGTAGCAAAGCTTCATTGTAGTGTAGCCATTGATAAGGTTTGCTGTACGACTCTCTCCAACCTAAGCACGGTCCATTATCTGAAAAGTTATCGGTTATTCGTGATGATGTTCTACATAAAATACAATGAGATGACATGAAAAAACATAAAGGTATAAATGTAGAAGCTACTCCGTTAAATACCTACATTGTTTTGGCACTGCAATAAGAATCTTTTAGATGACTTATAAAAACAGAATGAAAATCTTTAAATTCATTTCTGTTTGAATTTAAAGATTTTCATTCTGTTTTTATAAGTCATCTAAAAGATTCTTATTGCAGTGCCAAAACAGTGTATTTTAACGGAGTAGCTTCTACCTTTATGTTTTTTCATGTCATCTCATTGGATATTTTTTTTTAAATTTTTTTTTGTATTTTGTTTTACATCACTAATAGGTTATCTTGTCCGTCTGTATAGATAATTAAACGTCATTATAAAGTAATTTATATCATCAGTAGGTTAAATGGAAGAGCAGCTAATTGTTACATGTCAACGAAGCTTTCTTTAAATTAATTTTTATGCTGAACTTTGCTTTTAAATGTATTGTAATATACATTTAATAAAGATATTTATTATTATTATTATGGTCGGTGTTTCTTGTGAGAACTCAGGTCTAGCCTGGTTAACTAATCGCTATTTATTATTATTATTATTATTATTATAACAAACACCCGTCAGTATATAGAGTACTTACTTGATTCTTTACTTCCCCTTCTAAATCCATCATATAAGGTTTTTGTATCCTCGTAAAGGTAACTTACGAAATTGCCCTCTTTCGCGTCCTTGCAAAACCTTGAAACTCGAATTTGTTCCGCGCCCTGCAAGCAAAATTAGACGTCAGTTAAATTTAGCACATAAAAGACAACGAAATATGTCATTCGTTGTACACCTGTCACGCATATTAATAATAAATATGCGAGACGAAATCAGAATGAACTTAGTTCATATTTGTGTCGCCGTTCAAATTAGAATCGTTTGAAAAATGTGCCTCGTTAGTAAAAATAGAGGGTACCTTGTAAAAGTATTCGTTTATGTATGCAAGATAATGATTTCTGATGTTGTCTAGACGAATTTTATAATTCACAGGGTAAACAACTCAATTAGATTGTTTTAGCTTATACGACGTTGGGGGCAGTCCACAAGTTTGTCAAACATCGTGGACATATATTGCAACGGATACGCGTCTCGTTGTAGACTCTCAAACTGGAACCTTGGAAGAGGGCCCGATTCAGTTACTGCTTTAATGTATGATTATAATTCTACATTATCATTGGATGGTATCATCTATTCTATTACACAATTATTTTATTTCAGGACGTCATATAACTGAAAGTAATGATCGAAGAGGTTCATATTAAAAGAAACAAAAGAAAACATCATAGAACAAAAAAAAGATCCAATAATACATTAAAAATACAACAAAAACGATATCGATGATAAATTGACGAGAAAGGGAAGAAAAGGTTCCTATCTATCTCGTCCAGATGTTCAAATCGCGCTTTGTGAATACCCCCGCCCGAAACTTCCTTCTGGTGATACTATAATAGCACTTCATCGCTAGTCGATATAAGTAGGTATTGGGGCACTTTGGAGTGGGGAAATTCTGGCGACCGTGGCGTGGGGAAATATTTCGACAGTTGGCGCAGAGTGCGACGTGAACCCAACGTGAACGTGCTGACAAGTTGTTGACAAATTGCAATATGGTCCATAGCGATTTATATGTTTATTCGCGATTCACATTAACACCAGAGGCGCTGATGTAGTTTACAAATTGCGTATATTCGTGGGAGCGGTTTGTAAACATTGAGTTATTCTAGCAGATCAAAATCGATTATGTTTTAAAATAGCTTGCTTACTATTCGTGGCACAATTACACTGACCACAATTTTAACAATAAGTATTCCTTCGATGTGTCGTACTTTAATAAATGACGATTTAAATTTTTCTTACTATTTGCGAAATACCTAATCGCATAATCATTGGTTTACTGGGGTTATTCTATACCCTCCAGGTTCTATATTTTTAACCACAATGATTAGTGCCCTTTATTACTCGTCCTATACATTTTGCGAAGGGACCTTTGAAGGAATGGAATACTTGTCAAAAAAGCAAAATCCGATTTTTTTAAGGTGTAATGAGAGTCCCGAAAGTGTTAAGGCAGTAGGCAGCTCCGGGGGGTATGGAAAACCCCTCGGCCCACAATACTCGAATACTCCCCAGTAAAGAAAATCATGAAATTATTCATATACGGGAGGAGGGGGGGGGCATTTGAAATTACAAAATTACCCCCTACCTCTCCAAATGTGGAGATTGAAGGTTTCAATTTTCGGAAATTCGATAGAGAACAACAATATTAATAAGATCCTTGGGTTATTTGCTAAAAATTTGTAAACCCCTGAGCTATAAAACGAACCACCCTGTATAATCTCGTACATCTAAATTTAGCCGTTTTTAACATATTTTAAATCTTATGTCAAAAATAACGTTTGGCATGATGTGGAACGCCCTGTATTAGTTGGGTGTTGGTCTTTTGATATATACAGGGTGTTACATTTTGTACCATAGATACCCATAGACCAAATACAATGGTCTATGGTTGTACCCAAAAAGATCGGGTAATAGAGGAGAGAAAAACAAACTGGTCTTGCATATACCCTATGTTCAGCGAAGAATGGAACAGCGTGATATCTCGGGAATGCAGATTTTAACATTCTTAAAATTTGGTTATAAATGTAAGCTAGGGCCATATATTTTGTGATAAAAAGCTTTTTAATTAAATGCGTTGCCGTCAGATGGTGCTACCTAACTTAATTGTTTTAAATGGAAAACCTTACTTTTTATTAGATTTTTGGAATGTACAACATATTTGTGATAACTTTATTATAAGTGCTACTATCCTATCTCGTTTACTTTTCAGGAAAATTTTTATCAATTTAACCAATCTACCCAGGTGCCTACGTAAACGCTGACAGAATACAGCCTATGTCATTGATTTGATAAAATTCATCATTAATTCCATTGTTTTAACCATTGATGTAGCTACGCTGGGTATGTGTTAAATTTCTAAAAATTATTTTCTCAAAAAGCATAAAAGAGATAGGTTGGTAGCACTTACAAGTAAAATTATCACAAATATGTTGTAAATTCCAAAAATCTAATAAAAAGTAGAGTTTTCCATTTAAAAGAAGTTCCCGAGATATCGCGCTGTCCCATTCCTCGCTGAACACCCTATATACTGAAAGTCTCAAATGTTTCGTTGGGAAGCTATCCTTAATGAAGTCCACAAAATTGCGTTTCTTATAAATTTTTTTCTCTCGAAAACCATAAGACATATCAAATAAGACGTCTTTGGATAGGATATTGTGTATGCCATTTTTCCTCCACGATGGCGCGCCCCTAATCGAGAATTCTGATGTTAACGAAATTTGTTGACCGCAATTCGTGGGCACACTTTCAGAAAATTTCCTGTATGTTTTAAATGCGAAAAGCTAATATTCGGTAAAATATTTAAACAAGTACAAATTGTGCACAACCCTTGTGCAGGTCAAGCGCATTTTTTTAAAACACCCCTTCCATAAATAAGAAAGTTGGCACTGGACACCCTACACAAAACCAAATTTGGAAAATGGCGCTACATTTGCTTTTATTCCAAGTGGTTATGTATCAAATTTTATTTAAATGCCTCCATAAATAAGAAAGTTGAGACCTTTAATTGGAATACAATGAGAGGTAAAATTAATTTTGAACCCCCCCCCCCAGGCCTCGTCGCTCACTGATCTCGGAAAAACAGTCGCACGGGAAAGTTATAGTTGTACAAACCAATTATTTTCGATGAGACCTTTCATTTTAGAATACCATGAAGGGTAGACATGTGTTTCCCCCCCCCCCCCAATTTTCTAAAGTTTGACTTGGCACCCCTAAAGGCATGCGTACGCAAAATCTGAGACCAATTGGTTGTCGTATGTAAAAGTTACCCACGTTTTTCTTTCAAAAACAGCATCTCAGGAAATAATTCGTGGGGGGGGGGGGGCACAGTGAAATTTGATGAACGTCTTCTGGCACACCTTCAAGGTATAGGCTACCTACTGCAAAAAATTCTAGGACTCTAGGACCATTCCCCTAGATAGATAGATAGATAGATAGATAGATAGTTCGAAACGGTAGAAGTGGGTCCGGATGGACGGACGGACAAAACGCAAACAATAGCACATTTGTTTTAAATGTTAAAAAATGCTCTAAAAAGTGGACCAGTACCCCCTTATTTTTGTTTAAGAAGATCTAGTTTTGTTTTTGAGTAAACAAAAATATTAATTTGTGACATTTAATTTAACTTTTCAAGAAATGCGTCCACCTGCCTGCGCACACATCCTGTTGGAATTAAAGTTATTGCGTTTGATTTCATGTTGGCGTTAACTTTTATTACTTCAGATACAGTCACAATTCTGGCAATCAGATCTTCGGGTATTGTAATGCGGCTCCAGTGTTAGACTACATTCTTAAGATGTCCCCTGAACAAAAGTTCGGAGACCTAGGCTACTGGACCACCCCTTCCAAGTGAATTTCATGCATTCCCCAGAAGTTATGTATGCACTGATTTCGTTAGGAAAACTTCGATGCCTAAGAACTGATCTTACGCACAACGATATTTATTGCCTCAATATTACTTTTGTCGGTTCAGGCTTTTATCAAATGCAAATATTGCCAAGTCTATATGCATCTAATACTCATCTCCAGAAATATGTAAATGCAAGCATGTACATTACAGCTTGTTTATAAAATTTATAATTAGCACGATAAGCAATAAAGTTCGATGTTAGTAAGACATCTATTATTAGATAATAGAAATAACTTCGAAAAGCAACCAAAAAAAACATTGGTAATATTTATCAATCGTCACATGTTTATAGGCCGTTTGCTAAAAAAATGAAATGAAGGTCAATCTTGTAAACATACAGAGTGTTTCGTTAAAACCGCGATAGGTTGACACGTTCAGAAGCAACCTCCGCGTTTACTTGCCAACTATTACCGCGTTGTACTACAAATATAAACTGTAACGGATTGATTTATTTTATACAACAATAACTGACATTAAACTATGAGCAGGTGGTTTATTCCCTCGGACGGCTGCCAAAAAAGTTACCATACAATTGACTTTAAATGAATAATTTAACGTTAGCGTCAATTTCTCCTTTGCGCATGAAAAAGATTTTTCCATTCTTAATAATCCGCTTGTTATGTATACAAAAAATTATTTGGCGGGTGGCCCAATCAAAAATAATAATCCGTACGTCACCGCCCTATTTTTACCGGGGCTTCATTTAACCCATTAACCGATATTCCATATCTTTTTTTGCGTGCTTCGCCCCAAACAAAGAATAATATTATTTTTGAAAGCAATTGTCCGCTCACTTTAAATGCTAAAACCTCAAACATTTTATGAAATTTTGAGTACTCATGAATTGATTACCTAATACATGAAATTTTGCACAATAAGTACATTTTACGAAAAGCATATATATACTTCTCTTATATACAGGGTGACAATTTGAAAACTTACCACCCCCCATATCTTACTAAATAAACGAGATATTTAAAAAAATTAAAATCCGTTTCGGTAATTCGGAGGGGGAATCACAATGACATAATTGGCGACGCACCCCCTCCAACCCCCTGCGCCCCAGCCACTCCAACTTTTAAATCTTAAATAGTGACCCCCCATGTGTGATACGTCGTTGGAAAGCTCTGAAAAAATGCTTTCCAACCATACCAAATAGCATTACATTTAGTTTAGTAATTATCGTGCAAATCAAAAAATAAA